AATGATAGACATCTCACCCAGAGAGAAACACCCAACTCTACCTCCCCCCGCTGATTGGGTGGCGATCGAATGTCAGCTCTCCTTAGTTCTTCCCCCCGGTGTTCCAGTGCGCCAGCTGGAAAGGGGAGAGTGTGGCGGGCCCACCCAAGGTGCCAGTCTTGGGCGGTGTCCAAGTTCCCCCCAGCTCGATGACTTCTGCAAATGAATTACGGGATGGTCCGTCAGCCAGATTGCTTTTGGACTCAACATGGTCGATATAAACGTGAAGTTTCAGCTGTGCAGCGGTCACCCAAAACGATCCTACGAGATGGGCACTGTCGGGTTGTGGGGAGTAACCTTTCACCAAATTGGCTGCTGCGCTGTCATTATCCACAAAGAGAAGTATGGATCGTTCGCGAATGTAGGAATCCCACAAGCTGAGCGCCCAAAGTGGGGCAACCAACTCAAGTTGTCCCATATAGGACTTTCTTGGTCGCCATGCCTCCACCATGCTCTGGGGAACTTCCTGCGCTGAATAGAGCAGGCTGTGGGTCTCTGGAATGAAGAGAACTGCTCCAACCAGGCGCTGGGGTTGACGGTCTGGGACGTCTGAAGCATCAGTGTACAGAACAAGAGGGGGCTGGTCCACAAGGAAAAGCTCCCGTGAAGGACAGTGGTCGAGGAAGGCGAGCATCATGTGGAGGGACCATTTGAGATCGGGGGTTAAGCCTTGATACCGGTGCTGCGAGTACTGTCGCATTCGCAGAGGACCGGCGCAGCACCTCCCAACTTTCCCAAACAAGGTGGAGCATAGGAAGCCGAACTTGCCAACTACACTGGCTGCGGTGGCTGCGGAAAGATGCTCCTCTTTGAGAACTTGTTGAATAGTATTACGGAGGTTGGTAACTCTGGAGGGTTTTGCTTCCAGGAAGATTCGACGTTCTGCTGAGAGGCTCTGGGTAGAAAACATGATACCCAGGATGGCGCAGACCTCAGATGGGGGTTGCGACTTGTCTACGTCGAGTCGGAAGCCGAGCTCTGTGAAGAGTGCCTTGATGCAAAACAGAGCCGAGTCAACTGTTGACGTGGGCTCTAGGCAAAAGAAGTCGTCAAAGAAATGATCTGAGAAGGTGTGAAACAAACGAACTGAACAGCGAGAGACCCACTCTGCAACTCTGCAGAAGTTTGGGACTGAGTGCCCAGCGCCAAATGGCTGTCCGAACATCTCGTGTAGTGAAACCTCATCCCTCACTGGGTTGTAAACTGCTGTGATCGCAAAGCGGACGTCGGCCGGGTGTAAGGCTATCTGTCTGTATGCTGCCTTCATGTCTTCCGTGGCCAGTTTGATGGACGAGGAGTGCTCTGCAAGTGCCCGGAGCATGACACCGATGTAGTCGACCATGGTCATGGGTACCTTCTGCAACCGATGGGCCATTTGGTTCACACCGGATGCGCTGTGGTCATCTATGCGACGATACTTGGTACCCTGTGCCAAGCCGAAACTCGGCGCAACCTGGACTTCCGTGCCATACTTGGCATGCACTTGGTCCAGGGTGAGGGCTGGGCCCATTGTCCCGGCCTCGACTTCCCGTTGGGTCTTCTCCCAGATGGCTTGCGCCATCTCTGGGGGGCCTTCTGGGCCATGAACCGGACTCTCTCGATCATGGCCAATGAGCGCTCTTGACACCCGTTAAGGAAGGTATCACGCGACATAGTTGGCCGAACTTCGAAAGGCTCAAAGAAGGGTGAGGTGTGCGCCTTGCCTGTAATACGCATCCCTTCTAGACACAGCGTAGGGACTTCTGTGTCTTCTATGCGCAGGAGAGTTTGCAGGTGCTCCATGAGGCAGGTGTTGGGTTTGATACCCAGCTTCTGGGCCGTCCAGGCTGCCGAGGCATTAACTCTCGACTGCTCGGCCTGGAACTCTGCTTTGAGCTTCCTGACCCTGGCGAGCTGCTCCAACCTGAAGCGAACCAGGGTTGAAGGATCCTTACTCAGAGCACGTAAGCACTCATGGTGATCCTGCTTGAGAGTGTTCATCGAGGAAAAGGGATGTTTCAATTGCTTTGCAAGCTGGAGATGAGCTCTGGCGTCATCTAGCCCGTTGGGGATGAGTTGCAACCTCTTCCCATAACTGGGCTGTTTGGCAGCTTCAACTGCCTGTGCGCGTGACTCCGTCTGCTCCACTGGAGCGTATAACGGGGGTTCTCTCAGTTGTCCACTATGCGGGATTGCCTTGAGACCCATTGAGGGTCCAGCGGGAGAAAGCGATGCTTCTGGCGGTCGGTTTGGAACTGATGCGTCAAACAGCTCTGACTCCTCGGGTCCTGGAGGCCTCACTGTGTTGGGTGGCACTGGGGGGTATACTGTCCAGGCTCTAGGCATGGAACAGGACAGTGGTGCATGTGGTCCAGAGAAGAGCTTTACGAAGGATTGAATGTTACATTGTACACTACTTGACACTGCTTGAGCGTACTCTTCACAAAACCCCTCGGGGTACTCCCTCTCCAGGCCTGTTGCGAAGGATGTGACTCTCCCTTTCTGGATTCTGGGTTTCCAAGAAAGGTGGGGTCTACCAGTACGTGTGCAAAGCCTGCTACTCTTACAAACCAAGTTTAATGCGCTAGCCAAATTTGGGATGTTGTGGATGAGGACCTGTGCTTTCCTCCTCTCACTTCCCCGAAACATGCATGCATGGTATTCCGTGACCCACACCCCTGCCTCCGACTCCAACTCCCTCCAGGATGCGAGATCTCTGGCGATGGAGTTCTTCGGGTGTTCCAGGGTGAAGAACTTTCCGGATCTCTTGGCCTTCAGGCAATTCAAAGCGGCCATGTCGGCCATCCGGGTATCCAAATCGAACTTGCGGCGTTTGGAGGCGGGAAGTTTAAATACTACCTCCGGAATACCATTCGGAAAAACTGAACTCCTAAGAGGGATAGGGGGGTTGGTGACTCCCGGAATTGGTCGTTCACGAGCTCGGGAAAAGGTGCAACAGTTCGGGGCCCAATGCTGTAGGTCAGATGTACCCAGGTCCCTTTGCAACTGTTCCGTCTGTTTAAAGACGTCCCTGCCCCTCAACAAATCCCATGGTTCGGCGACCTTTTTCTCCTCTCTCGGAGGATCTGTTGCTTTCAAAAATTCTATGCCTCCCGGAGCACGGGTCGCGCGCACTCCCGAGAGGAGCTGTCCCTATTTCTTGCCGTCCTTCCCTCCCTTCTCCTTTTTGTGCTCTTCATCCTGCTTGCGCTTCTCACGAGTCCACTGCTTTTGCTCCTTCCGGAACCCCGGTGGGATCTGGCAGCGTGGCTCATGGCGCTTGCGACAGACGATGCACATGCGGAGCTTCGGAGGCTCTCCGGACCTGTCCTTGGCGGCCCGCTCCGGGGTGCGCGACCTCTTCGTGCCCTTCTTGTCTTCCCCAGTGCTCTTGCTAGTCGACGGCCTCTCCTTTCCTTGGTCTGGGTGGCCCTCTGGCTGTTGACTGAGGAGCTTCCAAAGGGGCTCTGTCGTGAACTCCCGGGTGTAATGGCTAAGGCCGGCCTCTACCGACCCTTTGCCTTTGGCCACCCACTTCAGGATTTCACTGAAGATCTCCCTGTCTGCACGACGTGCCTCATTCATGGTGGGATTTCGCATGCCCTCCGCGGTGACACCTCGCAGGCAGGCCACGATTCGCTCACCATATGCTTTCATCACATCGTACTTGCAGACATCGAGGATATGGAATGCCCTTGCTCTCAATTCGAAGAGGTCCTGCAGGGCCACGAGGTTGTCGACCACGACCGTCTCCGGGAACTCGACGTCCGTGTCGGTCATCTTCAGGCTCTTTCCATCAACCACCAGCTCCTTCTTGTCCTTCGGCAGCTTGCCTGCACGTCTCAATCGAGACTCCACTTCCATCGAAACATACGACTCCCACGCCAAGTGCTGGAAGGTCCCGCTCGGCATGAAGGTCATCTGCACCTTGGTGAGCGTGTGGAGCGAAGGCCTCTCTCTGTCTGACGTGGCCTCCGGCATGCCTGTTTCCACTGCCTTGTCCTCAAGCTCCTGGGCGTGGGCTAGGGTGATCTTGGTCTTCCCTTCACCCTCTTCCCCGGCTAACCTCTCCAGTTGGCGCTTTGCCACCTGGGTGGAAAGCCCCCAGAGTTTGCGGAGGCAGCCTGTGTCCGGCTCGCACTTGTAGTCGTCCCAGGAGAGGATCGTCGGCTTGTCGTAGACCACGATCTCACCGTTCACGTCACGGTAAGCCCCCCTCTTCCGTAGCACCTTCTTGAGGTAGTCCTCAAGATCAGCACTGGCAGGGAGGCGGTAAGCCATGGCCTCGAAGGTACTGATCTTGTCTGCGGCCATGACCAGAAAGTCACTCTCATGGACTTCGAAGCTGACCGCAGCCCTTCCGAAGGCCAGAGTCGACTTGGAATCCGCCATTGCGACGGCGACTCCCGAATCCGGGGGGTGTGGGTGTTCGATCCACTCATTGGGGCATCGGCGCATACGTCTACAATAGAGGTGCACACGTCACGTCCATACGAAAGGACATGGATCCCCAATGGAAGCTCCAGCATTGCATGACACTGTGCGAACTGGGTTGCATGGCTACATGGTTTAAACAATCACTCTGGCACCCGAATTTTGACAACTCATATCAACTGGCTTAAATGTCGTGATCTAGCACCTCTTCGCTGTGCAGGGTGCACCTGTGCCTACTGTCTGAATCAAAACCTGACTCACTCGGGTTCAGATGGCCTTCTACCTGATCGCCCCTGCACCGTCGCCCACAGCGCAAGATGATGCGGCCGTTCTTCTTTAGCACGAAGTCGCACAGCAAGGGGCATGAGGAGGACTCCACATTCCTCCCGAAGCACTTGTTGGAGAGCTTGTAGTTCGCTCCCCAGCTGTGATCCAGCTGGAGTTCCGCAAACCTGGAACCCTGGCTTCCGCACCTCGGCAAGCCCTCGTCTCGGTGGGAGGGCTTATGGATCCTCCCCGCCCCGGCAGCCAGCTGCACAAAGGTGTGGTGCATCTCCAGATCGGTGGTCGCGGGATCCTCTTCGCTGTCGTCCGAATCCGGTCCCATCTCAACCCCATTGGGAGTGGTCTCGACCTGCTCGATGGGGTAGTCCTCGTGACACTTCGCGGAAAGCTCCTTCTCTTTCTCTAGGGTCAGCTCCAGCTCGCCCATGTCTTCGGCTCCGGCGCCGCGAAGAGCTGGTGGGAGGTTTATGACAGGGACCGCGCAGTCACCGCTGATCCTTCGCTCTCCCTGTCCATCCTCCGTGCAAACTATGGCGCGTCTCATGGCGTCCGCCCCGCGTTCCGCCCCGCTGGACTTCGGCAACCTGTTCTCCTCAGCGAGGGTTTCAACAGTGGCCCAATCGGGTTGTCGCATACTGTCCAACTCCCGGCCCTCCAGGGTTTGAATCATCGCCCCGCGGCGGATTTGATCCAGCACCTCGATCTGCGCCTTCAGGACCAGTATCTGAGATTCGCGGAGGTACAGGTCTGGCATGAGCTCGGCTGGATCCTTCCAGGCTCCTTGAAACCTCACCGTTCTGGTGGTGACCTTAAAGTGGGTCATGTATGTGGGCATGGTTGTTTTGCAACTATGCCACCTCAGGTGCAGGGCCTGTTCCCTGGGCATGATTTCCTGATTCCCGGCGTCGATGTCTGCCAGGAGTGCATGTTTCACTGTCAGGGTATCCTCGGAGATGAGGGGGGGGTACATCTCCCACCCTTCAGTCTTCCCCGCAGCTCTCCCGACAAAGGAGTGTGTGCGCCAGTCGTGGCCATGCATCACCAAAAGGAGCTCCACCCACCTGATCAACCACTTGTCGTTGTCCGGGTGCACTCTCAGGAGGCTCGCGGCCCATGTCCTGGGCCCAGATTTGGTGTAGGCCGCCTTCGCCCTGAGTCCCAACACTCCCGTACCGCCAACCATCCGACACCATTCCACGTCACGCATCGCTGTTCCTGCCAAATCTGAGTGGCGAATGCTAGACTGGGTGCAAAGACGGAGTTTGCCGCAAGCAATGCGGGTCTGAAGATCCCTGTTCTCGTCCAGCACCACCTTCTCCAGCCAGTCTAGGAAGCGGATCTCGAAGAATGGGGCTGGACGGCGTTCCGGGGACTTGCTCACGTAGTCCGTGCAAAGCCTTCTGACTCGGGGGTGAGCACAACCGGGTGAGTGGTACCCGAAGAGACCTCCGAAGTATTCCACAGCATACAGGAAGCTCCTCGGGGTGTAGAAACCTACTTCCTCCTCGATCAGGCTGATGATGAAAGCCTGAATGGCCTCAAGTCCCATGATCTTGGGGCCAGTGACTGAGGGGGCTCCATACTTGATCTCATAGGCTTGAAGGTACCTTCCCAGGAGTCGGGCGTACCTGAGAGCTGTGCCTGCTGATTTTGGGTCGGTATACCTGTGGAAGAGGGCATAATCAATGACTCCCTCCTTGGAGCTGACGGTCTCGACCAAGTCCATCTCCACCTCGTGGATCACAAGCTCCTCGAAGAGGTGAGTCGCCAGCTTCCGGAACTCTTCCAGCTTGGCTTCCTCGAGGGGGCGGCTACGACGAGGAAGCCCCAAGGGTACATAGGGTGCCACGCGAGAGGGTGCGGCCTCGGACACTGATGGTCGATCTGCCTTCTTTGAGAACTCACCAAAGATCCCGACCTCTTCCAGTCCTCTGGTGATCCTGCCGGGATCCGCCTCCGGCTCTACCACCGATGGCCCCGGTTCCTCCTCACACTCCTCCTTCACCTCTGGCTTAGGAGGGGGAGGGGCGTGAGAGCTTGCCTTCTTGGTGAAACCAAGCGGCGACTGTCCAGATCCTAATACCCAGGTTGGCGTATCCCGGGATGAACGATCAGAGGACAGATGTGGAGTGGAAGCTGCTGAGGATGAACCCTCTGAGCCAGCAGGCGCCTTTACTGGCTTCTCCGCTTTCTTTTCAATTGTCCACTTTGGAGGGGCTGACCGAAGGCACTCCGGTGGTCTCTCCTCCGAGCGTGACTTAGCCGATGGCCTTGCTGCCGTTTCCTCTTCTCCCTGGATCTCCAGGGGCTGGTCTCCCTCAGATCCACTCCGGATGGCTTCCAGGATCTCACTTGAGGGGATGCCGTTCTCGATCATCCTAGCAATCTCTTCCCGGGCGGACCAAGCTCCGGCAGCGAAGAGCCCGCTGGTCTTACCCAGCTTGGTCCTGTCCCTTCTGGGCGAAACTGCATCCAGTCGTTTGGAGCTGGGTCCTCTTCCTCGGCTGCCGCTGCGACCTCGGCCTCGAGAAAGGTCGAAAACTGTTGCCGGGCGTCCAGCAGGGGACCTATCTTGTGCCCATGGAGGAACAGCCATCTCCCCCCGCTGTTTAAAAGCAGGGAGGCTGTTCGGGCACAACTTGACCCAAAATGGCCACGTTGTTCATTCCGCTGGTCAGACATTTACTTTAGTACCTGTGGCACAATCTGTATATATTTCCTGCTCTTCGCATGGATCTTTTTTGCCTCTTGCAACAAGGGAGGTCAACCAAGAATCAGGCCTTTTTGAGGGTTTGTCCGCCGCGCAACGAATACTTAATTTGGGTCTTCAGTTCTTGTTTTCAGTCTTTTGAAAGATGAGAGTTTGGTGGCCAGGCCCTATTGAATTGGGCCTACGCACCACACATATGCAACATTGTTTCGTTCGAATGCTTTTGCTTCCCCTTTCTTCGATCTCAGCTTTGCACTTGAGTGGAATCAGCTCCAGAAACCATGACAGTGCCCGCCAGCCCACCGAAGTCATATGGATTTGAACATGAGAGCACACTGGAGCAGTAGCACACCTCACAGAAATGATGAACATGTTCAATACTTTTCAACCAAAAACGTTGCATTGTCACTATAAATAAGCACTGCAAATAACAAAAGGAAGACAACACATGGCCTTGTAATCACCACTGGCCGTGATACCTCCAAGTTCATACCTGTCACGAAGAGTTCAACGGAACTTGAAGAGTTCAACGGGCACGTGTTGTGGCCTTGTTTGTGTGCTGTTTTGCTCTGGAATCGGAGCAACCACATTTGTCTGTAGCGATTGTCCGGCATCAATAAGGATCTCCTGCCCAAAAAACTCCGAAGGAAACATAAAAAATAACAGCAAAGGAAAGGAAAAACATTGATCAGCTCGTTCTTGCAGTGAAGCTTCAGGTGGAGGAAACATCCTGGAAGAATCCTTGCTTTTTGGACTGGGAGCCAAGTGATCAGGTTTTCTTACACCTTAGCTTAAAGGCAATCTCGATAAGAATGAAAAGAAGAGATGTGCTTTGATCGCGTTGCGGGGGAGTGTGTGGATGTGCGATGTGATGCATTGTGATGCGAGCTGTTGTGTTCTTAAGGTGTCACATGCGATGGATTTGTGCGGCGTCACCAAGACCTGCTCAGGACATGCAAGACGTCGTTTGGCCAAAGCATGCACCAGATACAAGCAGCAAGGTCAAACATTTACACCGAATATATTCTGCTCCAGAAATCTTCACCGGTCAAATTTGCCGCGCTCTTCTCTAGAAATCTTGACTTGCATGCACCGGTGCTTTGTTCACACACCCAATGCAGCCATTCCATTGCGATGAACAAGCACCGGCCGGATGAACAAAGCTAACTTCCTTTCACTCTCTTGCTACCCTACTGGGGCCTATCTGCCTTCCCTCTGCCCTACCCGGCCCCAAAAATGCTTCCCAAAGGCCTAAGAAAGAAAATAAAAGGCCTAGAAAGAGGAAAGCACTCTCTCCAGTCCCCAAGCTAGCGTCAAATTCATAAGCTCGCTCTACTGCCAGCATAGACAGCCAGACTTTCTTTCGGACTCTAAAGAATCCAAGAACTGGACACTCCTGAGCTGGTACTCCAGCAGCAGGGTTGCCATTGCAAGGAAAGCCATCCTTGACCTGTACAACGGTATAGATCTGTTTGGGCACAAGGAACGGCACAACATGATCAATCAAGATTTTGAAGCATTCTTATTGAGTTCCTTGATTATTGTTTTCTTTTTGTTTTTGTATGTTCTTCTTTGCTCTACTTGTCTTTATTTCTTCCTGCGATTTCTTGCACTTCTTGTTGAACCACTTCAAGAGATCTGCTATGATTTGCCAAGGCCCGCACCAGTTTGATTCTGTCAAGGGATGTGAGCATGAAGCCGATGATTGTGACGTTGCAGTGAATGCCGACAACGCAGTCAAATGCCTGCAAGCCGGCACGGCTCACTGACAAATTGAAAAGAACCAATTCAAATTTGTCAGTGTCTTCTACCGTTCCGTACTCCTAAATACTTCAGGCGTATGGGTCATCAACAAGGATTCTTTCTTTTTTGTGGGTACCACGCTCTTGACAAGTTCACTTGAAGGTGTGGACTCTGCTCAAGTCCTGTTTTCCATGACATTATTGGATGAACATTTCAGCTAAAAGAACTTGCTATCAGCGAAACCAAACGAAGTCAGGACCTTCTCTTCGATCCCTTGCGAAATAAGAGCGCTGCAGTTCTCATCAAAATTTACCAAATTGCATTCTGGTATGCTTTCGAGTCGGCAATGCGCTGAACAAACAAACATCTAGAAAAAGCGTTTAGAAACCCTTAAAGCCTGATACCGGTGTAATTTTTCTTTTGTATTCCGAACTTGGGAACACATCATCGGAGCTTCGCCTGATATCCAAATGGCCCTCTGACCTTCAGGGAATGCAAAGTCTGAAACTGGCATGAGCCGCGACGCCAATCCGTTCGTCTCATTTGCCTTTTCAAAACGATAAGCTACTAGGAGCAAAGGGCATCGCTACTAGGAGCGATCGGACGCTACGTTCGGGGCTTTCGTCTCCGTCCAAACGAAACGAAGAACGCCTGGAGGTCGCTGGCATCGCTGGTGAACTCGGAGGCATCGGTACATGGCAAGGTATCGCTTCCAGCCACGTCCAAGTAGGTCACACAGTAGCACACCTTGAAGAGACCACCGTGCTGTGTTTCCACGCTGCTCAAACTCGCCTGACACGTTGTAAGCTCCAAGTTGCAGGTGACGTCCTTGGGTTCTCCTTGAGCGATCTGAGAATCTGCTTGCGACAAAGCGCATGGGGCTCCGCTGGCGATGATCAACACTCGGTCTGACAAGGCAAGTAAAGCTCCATCCCAGGGGCCCAAAGTGCATGTCTGTCCAGCAGCACACAGGGTATCGACTCGCGTAAAAGGGCCCTTGATGATCAAAGCACCGGCATCCACACGGAAATCCGAGGAGATCGCACAGGGTTCCGCCAGATTGGGACACCAGCACATTCGATAAAAGCCACCCGGAGTGGAGCTATTCAACCTGCTTGGTGGTTTCAACTTGCTTGAAACATACTAGTCAGTTTGTGTGTTCTTCCTCATCCCCAAGTAAAGTTGCTTTTTTTTTTCACATGGAAAAACACATCAAAATCTCCGAAACGCCGTAAACCTAGCCACGGTAGGAAGTCGGTGTTGTTGGATCCGTCGCCCCAACCGTAGCGCCGCCCCTGCTGCGTCGCTTCGTTGGAGATGGCACCGTTGGGAAAGCCCTCCACGCCGGCACCGACGCCACAGAGCTCCAAGGCCATGATCTTCTCTCCGTCTTGCAAGCCGTATCCATAGAAACTCTCCAAGGAGCACACAACACCTGGATAACATTGCAGCAATTGGAAGAGGGAAGGTCCTACCATGTGCAATTCACCACTATCCACAATGTAGTCCACGGGAGCGCTACATCGCGTGGTTGCAGCACACCAGCACAGGCGGTATTGACCTCCGGGCGATGTGGCTCTCAAAGGGCCCCAGGAGACGGTGCTTCCGAAGTTGGAGTGGATGGTCGACAGGGCATTGTTCGGTAGTCTGGCCAGGGTAGACGTGGTGCCACATGTATCAAGTACAGTGACCCTGTCGCTGGTGAGCAAGCCCTGCCCGAGGTATCCATTGAATTCACAAACTTGGCTCGAGATGCAGGTTTTGATGTGATCCAAGAGAGGACCAATCACTGTCAAATTGCCCGTGTCCACCTGGAAGTTATCAGGAGATTGACATGGCATACCCAAGGGACACCAGCACATGGCATAAGTTCCTCCTGAGGCCGTTAAACGCAAAGAGAAATCGAATTGTGACCCGCCACCCGTTGCAATGGCAATACCATTGTTGGAGAAGCCGGAGACATAGGTGGAAAGCAAGGGAATGCATGAGGGGCTAATGAGCAAACGATCTCCGTTCTGCAACTCATAGCCACTGAATTGTGTGATGCTACAAATTTGCCCAGTGGTACAAAACTTCCTCTGACCAATGGCTGGACCAACCATCTTCATAATGCCTGCCTCTGTGCGGAAGAACTCCCCAGAACTGCAGTTCGGTGCTGAAACAGAGCACCAACACATGGAATACTCACCCCCCGCACCGGTCACATAGAGTCCGCCACTGGAGGTCCCCCAGGCATACTCCGTGCCCGTGAAGATTGCGGGATCGGAGATGCCACCATCCGGCCAACCGAAGAGAACGGACGAACCCCCACATTGGTTCATGATCATGATCCGATCGCCATTGGCAAGGCCTAAACCTTGCAAGTTGCTGAAGCCACATTCCGTGCCACTTCGGCACGTGCGCTCTTGATTGAGAGCTGGCCCGGGAAGTGTCAACAAACCCGCTTCCACGTTGAACAAATCGGCGCGGTCACAGGAAAAGCTGTTGGAACACCAACACATCCAATAGACGGCACCACCTGCCGTGACATAGTTGTCCCAAAAGAAGCTGCTGCCGTTGGCGATCGAGGCTTCAGAGATCCCCATGTTGGGCCAACGGGGAACGATGCCCGTGGGATCGCCACAGTTGGACGACAGCATCATCCGATCCCCGTTGCTCAAGCCGTAGCCCGTGAAGTCGGTGACGTTGCACAGCTCGCCGCTCAGGCAGGTCTTGCGCTGCGTCAACGGGGCGGGTCCCACGATGTAGAGCAAGCCGTATTCCACACGGAAGTTGGAGCCACTTCTGGTACATGTTTGAGATGCGGCACACCAGCAAAGCTTGTAGAATCCACCCGGTGCCGTAATAATCGTGGCTTCTGCACCCGCCCAAGTCACCGTGGTTCCATTGTCCACCGCTGGATCCGAATAGCCGCTGTTGGGGAAGCGGGCGATGTACAAATCCGTATCACAGTATCTTAGGACCATCGTTCGGTCGCCATTGCTGAGACCGACCCCAGTAATCCCCGTGGCGGCGCACACGATGCCCGAAAAGCAGGTCTTCCCCTGGTTGTGATGCGGACCCACCAGCTTCATGGTACCAGCGTCCACGGCAAAGTCCTTAGGCTCCGTGCAGCTGTAGCCGGTGGCGCACCAACATAAGCGGTAGTAGCCGCCTTCGGAACGCACCTCCAGCACGCTGGTGGTGGCTTGCAAGGCCCAGTTGTAGTTTTGATAAGTGACTCCTTCCAAAGTGTATTGTACAATTCCTGGATCACTGATGCCCCAGGTGAACGTACTCGATGGCCAAAAATCCACGGTGGAGTTGGTCTGCCATTCAGGGCTGCAATCTCTCCTCTTCAGGCGCAAACAGTGCGTTTGACAAAATGCTGATGCTTCTTGCCAAGAATGACACACACACATTAATTTTCTTATTTCACTTGAAAAGAACCATAGATCTTTGAGCTCACATACCCCTGGTTCATGGTTGGGTCTTCGAGCCAGTCTCGAAGATCTCTCCTGATCATGATAAGATCAGAATTGTCCAAATGTCTTCCTTGAAGCAATGTGATGCTGCAGGGTTCATTGGCTACGCAAGTAAAGATCTGAAGGCGCTGTTGCACATTCAGGAGACCAGTAGGATCTGGAAGCTCCAAGAAAGGCCCCACCATGATCATCTCACCGATATCGGTCTGGAAGTCTTTGGCCTGTCATTGGTCCACCGCGTGAAACCAAAACGGATCATGGTGCAAAAAAACATGAAAAGCCTGGAGGTTCCCTCAAGCCCCTTATCTGGTATGTTGCATGCAGGTCATGGAGTGTGAGAACCGGAGTTCTCATCGAATGTTCAAAACACAGGAAAACAATTCTGGTCAAAACGTCTCGTGCCGTTTTACCATCAGGTCTCTCTTGCTGTTTTCGAATCCAATGTCTGTTCTATCGACCCAATCTGCCTCGGTGCACTTGTAGTTCGCAGCGCACCAACACAAACGATATGCCCCCCCCGGACTGGTCACTGGCTGGGTTCCATTGCCCCAGTTGAAGCTGGAGCCATTGAGTGTACCATTGTTGGAAGGGCCGTCAAACCAGCCATATTGACCTGCTGCAATGAGCTGGAAATTGTAAATCGCCCATTTATCCGAGCTTTGGACCAGCTGAAGCGGTTCGGGATGTGCACAGGTGTCCAGCACCATGAGCTTGTCACCATTTTGTGTATAGTGGCCTTCGACTCCCGAGAATGCACAAGGCTGTCCTGCAACACAGGTCCGACTGTAGGTCAAAGGATATGGCCCTAAGAAGGCCAAATGTCCAATGTCCACTCGAAAGTCGCTGGCGGCTGAGCAAGTGTAGTTGTGAGCACACCAACAAAGTCTGAAATTGCCACCCTGACTGGTAGGCCTCACCCCTTGACAATCAAAGTTGTAAGGTTCCATGCAGGTGGGTTCGCGGCCCCAAGTCACCAAGGTCCCGTTGTTGGTGGCGAGGTCTGACACACCACCTCCGGTGAAGCGCAAGGGTGCTGAGAAGGAACCGCAGGTCTCCAGCACCATGATGCGATCATCGTTTCCGAGATCTTGCCCGGTCAGATCGCCGGCATAGCAGGGCTGGCCGGAAATACAGGTGTGATCTTGATATTGAGGAGAAGGTCCGATGATGGTCAAGGTCGCCACATCGCTTTGGAAATGTCGGGGCAACTGACACCCGAAGCCAGCAGCACACCAGCATAAACGGTACAAACCTCCTGCTGCAGTGATGGCTGCACCGCCGGACTGCCCCAAAGCAAACGAGGAGCCGCCATCCGTGGCCTTCGGTCGAATGAGTTTTCAGTCTTGCGAAGCATGAAGAAACACGTGCAAGAGAGTCAATGGAAGTTGTCACAACTACTAGCGTGGCACTTGTTTCTACTAGCTTCTTGTTACTACTAGTAAGGCACCTGTTACTACTAGCGTGGCACTTGTTTCTAAAAACTCTTTGGAATCCTTTCAAACATTTAGAAATTGCAAAAGACTTCTTTGTGCCGCGGCTTAGACTAGAGCCTGAAACAGCCTCTCTATCGAACCTGACAAAACCTCGATCGGATCCTCAAAACGTTGGTCCCCAGATATACCGTACCGAAAGTCTCGACAGTCTCGGAGAAACGTTCTGCAAACCAGGAGGCATTCTCCATCAAACCACCGTTGAAAATCCGGGGCACCACTGAAGTCAAGGCATTGTAGTAATGATTGGCCTTACAACGTTCAACACAGGAGCTTCATTGTTCTTGCTTCCAACCACTTCCTTTTCTTTAAAAGGCAACCACTTTCCGTGTTCGTTTCATAAACCTATGTCTGACATTGATTGCTGGCATCGTGAGCTTGGCACACATGTGTCCAAAATCATGATCCTGTCTCCGTCCTGGCAGGAACTGCGAATCAAGTAAAATAAATCTGCCCAATTCACAAAGAAACAATTCACACATTTTGTGCTACATTTGCTTCTCTCCCTTGAATGCTTTCCTTTTCTTCGTTCTTTTCCGGGCCATCATTCGCCCAACGGCGCCTGCAAGTATGTGCCCGTGATGTTCTTGAACTCGCAGGGCTGCCCCGCCACGCAGGTCCTCAGCATCTGTCGGAGCTCCCACCGTCTCCGCCCCTTGGCGCTCGTTTTCGGAGCTCACCAGCGTCTGGTTGAGACACGCAAACACCTCTTTCAATCCTCGTTTTGCTCCAATCAGCGAAGTTAAGATTGCCCAAAACATCTAGGAACCAAATGCATGGTGCTCGAGCTATCCTGCGTCCTACCTACAAGCTTCCTATTGCTATGAGCTTACTACTCCCTTACTTCATTAAGTAGGCGCCTACTTAATTACGTAGGAACGGGCAACAAATAGATCGACTTTAAAAACACTAGTTATTAGTAGCTTCTTGTTACTAGTAGTAATGCCAGGAGCTACTAGTAGCGTCCTTCCTCCTAGTAGCGATGCCCTTGTCACTAGTTGCAAGGAATTCGGTCGATCAAGGAATTGAGCTCCCGACCTGCCCTGTGAATTTGGCCATGGGCCAGCCACGTGAAGCGTTCCAGTGTCCGTGCGGAAGTGTGACCTCAGTGTCCGACTCAAAAGATTCCAGGTGCTCTGTTGCCCAGAAACGGACTCTGTTTTTCTCACATCTTTTGACACCAAAATCGTGGTCGCCAGAACTCGCCCGAACCTCGCCGGAAGCAGACCGATAGGACCGATAGGACCTTACACTTTCACCGTCCGGATGTCGGCCCGAGATCCTCTGCACTTGGCCGTCGACGGTCGATTGCATGGCATATCCGGCTGTGGATTGGCGCACCAGCAAAGGCGGTAAAGGCCACCAGCAGTTGAAATCTGCCAGCATCGAAGCTTCGAACACCCAACGCCAACTTGTGAATCCCCAAAAAACGACTTGCAATGGACACCTCTACTGAACAGCTTAAGCCAACCATGCCTCACCTCGGTCTTCCATGAACACCCCGATTCCGCCTCCACGTGCCCCCAGGAGAAGGTGCTGCCGCCATCGGTGGAGGGCTGTGAAATCGGCAGCGTCCTCGCTGTGAGATGTGTCACGTTGAGAACGGAATTGCAAAAGGAATCCAAAAGCAGGGTAGGAGCGATCGGAGGCTACTAGGGGCTCCTGGCCGTACTACTAGGAGCAAGAAGCTACTAGGAGCAAAGGGCATCGCTACTAGGAACAAGGACGCTAAAGCGATGGCCTCCAATTATAAGAATACATTTTTGTGTTGTACGCCTGACTTGTGCTCTCTTCTTGGCCGGTGCCCCCCTGAAAGACCCTAGTAGAAAAGACGCAACACATGCACTTGGATCCCTTGGAGAAGTCGACGCCCATTCTACTACTTGGACCTCGGTGCATCAGGATTGCTCCATCTGGGCACCACTGCTGCCATGCTGCCGCAGGTGTCCATCACCTCAAACACCAGAACAGCAGAGCGCACATCCAGACCGTGTGCCGTCGCGGCAGCAAAGCAGCGGGTGAATGAACGAAGCAGAACGATATTGATGTCTCAAAGCATGACTGAACACGGAAAGCTGGTCAAAATCAAGGGCTAATTCTTCGTCACTGAGTGGCCATGATGACATCTCCGTCCGAAAGCAAGTAGCCCTGCAAGCCAGACCATTGGCAAACCTGCAAATCATTGCAAAGCGCTGCAAAGTGCAAGGCTCAAATCAGACTGAAAGGGGCCTTGTAGGGCAAAACTCCAGCATTCAACCGCCGGTCAATTGGTTTTGAAATGGTGAGGGTTCTGCGGACAATTTCAGCACCTGCCTGCCCACTCACACAGGTTCGTTCTTGATACAGTGGAGCAGGTCCAACAAGGTTCAGCGTGCCAGCATCGAAGCGGAAATAACTATTTCCTGACGAACATAGAGCTTGGCACACGAAAGGCACAGCTGCACAGCTTCTCACATCTCTTGAAAGATGCTGGCATCACATCACAGCCCTGACCTTCTTCTGCAAAGCTTTGTGAAGCCCAACAAATTCGATAGGTGCCACCCTGCGCTGTCACGTAGGCTGGAGAGTATTCGCCTTGCAAGGAAACAGCCGGTTCACCGGCGAAGCACTCACGAAGAGGTCTGTGCCTCGTTTCAGCGTCTTCACCGGTGCTCCGAGGCCAAAAAAAAAAGAATCCAAACGCCACCGCTGCTCTTAGGTTGGAGGCCATTGCTCTTAGGTTAGAAGAAAACAAGGCCAAAATCCAACCACCTGTCGTTTGGCCGCCTTTGGCCCTTGAGAGCCCCATGGTAAACAGGCTGCACAGAAGCTGTGTACCGTTTTGGCTGCTTAAGCATTGGCCGAATGCCACTGTATGCCCTAAAAATGGAGGCCGCTTTTTTCGGCAGCCTTGTCTGCAAAGTGTGGGGGAGTGGGACACAGTAGACTCAAGTAAGGGCCTTGTGGAGAGCAAGAAATCACTCGAATAGAGGATCAAGAGCTAAACCTCTTCGACCGTTTGATTGTCGACAAATCTGGCAGCTCACTCAAATTCTGAAGGATTGGCTTTGTCACAAACACCCGACGACCTTTGGTTAGCATTTTGCACTGAAGATCCAATGTGTTCTCAGCAGAAGCTGAAGTGGTGCGAAACTGTGGAGAGATTGGCCACTGGGTGACATTTTTGGCCATGTTCCTTGAACGCAAAAGGACCCAGTAACCAGGTGCCAACATCGAACGCAATCCGAAAAAAACATCGCTTTCTCTCAAGAAAACAACAAAGAAAAAAGGTGTTGCTTAAGGTCACAAGAAAAAAGACACAACAAAGAAAACAAGGGAACAGGAACACGTCGGGTAGGCCAGGTTTTCGGCAGCTCGGACATCCGCTCTACGGACTTTTTCCGACGTGTCCAACGACCGTGGCCGACCGTGGCCTCCCCAAGTATAAACGCTGCCGTACTGCGAGCTGGTGTTGTAGGCCGGCAAAGACCTGAAGGGAAAGGCGGGCTCCGAGGTTCCGCGCCGATGCTTGAAACCCCGGTTCTCGCGGCCTTCCGCTGGAAGGAAAGCGGGGCACAATGTTGTCCTCGTTTGATCCATAGCCCTTGGCTCCTTGGTATCTGGCACACCTGGGTCATCCGCATGAGCTGCTGGAAAGCTTCTTGCTTTGAACCTCATTAGGTTGGAGGCCATAGCTAGTAGGATGGAGGCCATCGCTTCTAGCTTGGAAGCCAATTGCTATTAGGTTCGTATTCTCATTTTCAATAATGCTTTTTCAGCTTTTTTTGGAACTTTTTGTTTCCACAATTCTTGTTCTGCCCGGTGGTGCTGGGCACCAGACTCATCCAGAATCACCACACGATCGCCATCCTGTGCGGCACGTGTGACGTCGCGTTTCGAGTCCCAGATCCTCCAGTTCCTTGTCGCTTCTTGTATCGATTGAAGGCTTAGCTCTTATTTTTCGTCTACAAAACATGTACAAACATGAAGTATAGCACATTTTGAAAGGAGGCGGGCTCCTCAGCGTGAGGTGAAGCCTTAAGATCTCATCAAAACCTAACCACCCGTCGAAGCTCAAAATGACGAAACCCTGCCTGAAGACCGATGCCCGTGATGCCGCCCCACATACATTGTTGACCTCTGACGCAAATGATTGGCATAGATTGGAAATGCATGACATAACCATTCTGAGAATTGCGGCCTCCCTACTGCTACAGCAGCAACTACTATTCTCACCTCGAGCAAATGGGGTTGAGTATTGTATATATATATATACACATACCGCACTAGAGGAAACAAGAGTTCCCAATACTCAACTTTGGCCTTTCTCTCAAAAGCACAACTGCTTCACTCGTCAAAAGAGACACAGAAAAGGAGGGGACGAAGGAGAAAACCGGAACCGAAACAAGAAGCTACTAGTAACAAGTGCATCGCTTCTAGTAACAAGTGCCTTACTAGTAGTAACAAGAAGCTAGTAGAAACAAGAAGCTACTAGTAACAAGTGCATCCCAAGAACGAATTGTTTCAAGTCGACCCGATGTTTGAAGGTTGAAAGCTCTGAGGCTTCCCGCCACTGATGCACGTGCGGTTGTTCTGGTAGCTGTCGGGGCCAAGCACCTATAAATAGCAACACATCGCATGCGTGGTGAGTGTGCAGAGTCACGACTAAAGGCGACCAACCAATCTACTAGTAACAAGTGCCTCGCTAGTAGTAACAAGTGCCTTACTGGTAGTAACAAAAAGCTATTAGAATTAAATTAATAGCTTCTTGTTACTACTAGTAAGGCACTTGTTACTAGAAGCGATGCACTTGTTACTAGTAGCTTCTTGTTTCTTTTCTTTCTTTTTCTTCTTTCACTTTAGTTTAAATACTTTTGGACCTTCCTTTCTTCTTTCTTTTCCTCTTCTCAATCAAAACTAATGCATATCTTGTGGCTGATTCTGCCTGCATGTAACCAATGTCCACTTCAAAGTCGGATGGAACTGCCTGCGACAAAATCACTGCCTTTACGCAACGACTGCCTGAACTGTCAAGCTTGAAAAAGACTGAGAATATCCCTTGAACACTCTCAACATAAATTAAATTTAAGTCTAATAGCTTCTTGTTGCTACTAGTAAGGCACTTGTTACTAGTAGCGATGCACTTGTTCCTAGTAGCTTCTTGTTACATACCTGTGGATGAATACATAAATACCAAACTTCTCCCCTCCCAAAGACGTGAAGTCCTGTGGGAAGCCACTGGCAGCCCAGCAAAGCCGATAGATTCCACCCTTCGCCTCGTTGCAAACGAACCAACGAAATCCACCGATGGTACAGGGATGAACCAAGGGGTCTTGGCATGGATTGTCCCATTAAGTTGGATGGATGTGAGACTCTCAATCAAACAATGAACAAATCAGTTAGACCTCAGAGATCTTTGTAATTGGATCTCGACTCTCAAAAGATTCTTTTTCTCTTGGCTCTCAAGCTAAAAAAGAAACAAAAGCAAAACACCTTCCGATGTGTCGGGCAGGCGTTTTTCAAACGGTGACACGGCGGCAAACCGTGGCACCGTGTCAACCACTCTGAGTGCATCACTGAGATTGCTACGAGTCGATCTCCACCCCAGGCAAAGCTCGTTCCACCATCCGTGGCAGGGTTTGAAATGCCCCTTGGCCTCAAAATCAGGCTGAGGAGGTCGCTCTTAGGGTGAAGCAATTCTGAGGGTGAGTGCCATTGAACATCAAACCATGTCATCACGTCACACGTCGCGAACGACCACGTGAGGTTGATGACATCATCGGGAGCGACATGATGGGCATCAACAGAGGCTCTGGCTCATCTGGAATGCCATCTGCGTCTCCCGAAAAGCCGTATAAAACATTCACCTGCAGAGAGGCCATCGCTATTAGGTTGGAGGCCGTTTCCAGAATCCAGTTGATGCACCAAATTCAATGGTACCAAGTCCAGAATGACACGCGCACTCGCACGGCCGTGACAGGGCCTTTTTAACCAAAACAGGGGTGTTTCACAGGTACTCCTTGATTGCGATTGCAACCAACATAGTCGAAGTCCAAACAAATTGACTTAAAGCAGAAAGCTTTCCATCTTCCAGGCTTTGGTAGATCTTTCCTTTCTTGTTGATCGATTGCTTGTTAAAAATCTAGGAACCAAATGATTAGTGCGTCAAGGAAGATCCCCCCGCCAGGCGGCGGGAGCTTCCTTGAAGAAGCGTGAGCTATCCTGCGTCCAGTAGGTAGTAGCTTAAGTAGCCTAGTAGCTTACCTCCTTACTTAACTAAGTAGGGAAGAGGGGGAGCGAGCTAAAAACAAAAACACACCAAAGAAAGCACAACAAACGCGATTTGCTCCTGTTTTTTGGTGCCCCAAAAAGGCGACGTCAAACCGACACCGAGGCCACGACGCTCAAGCCGTCACGACCACATGTGTCCAAGACCATGATGCGATCACCATCCTCAGGAAACGGCCAAAAATAGGCCAGGTACCGAACAGGGAGCTACGGAGCAGCGGCCGGCCGGCCTAAAAAGACCTTCCTTTTAGGCCGCTCTCAGGACCTTGAGACTTTCCTTCATTTTCTTCGTTCTTTCCGTTCCTCTTTTCATGTTCGTGGTCTGAACATAAGAACTTAGGAGCGGAAGCTTCCTTTCTGTCTTCTTTTTCTTCTCTCTTTCTCTCTCTCCAAAGAGAACTGACTTGTGTAAAGTGGTGAGACCGCAAGATGAAACTCCACCTTCGAAATTGCAAACGAGTGGCTTCCTTGCTCCTAGTAGTAAGGCCAGGAGCCCCTAGTAGCTCTTGCTCCTAGTAGTCAGTTTTACCAACTTAGGTGCTTTTATTAGGTGGACTAGCCCTTCTCTCCTTAAGAATGCTGAATTCTTCTTTAAAGCCTTCCGCAAGCGAGGACCGGGCACTCAAGTCGAAGCCAGTGATGTTGGTAAATGCGCATGGCTGTCCCGAAGAACAGGTTCGGCTTTGGTCTCAGCAAAAATGGAGCAATCTCTGTGTGCAAACTGAAGTGCAAGACTGGACCCTTGTCACTGGACCCTTGTGCGCTCTGTCTGCCCAAAGAACGATATTTCTGCTAGCTCACTGCGAAGCGGCTAGCGGCAGTCCGAGTATGGACACCGAAAGACTGAAGGGTTTCGCCGTCTTTACTCCACTGACCAAGGCAAGGCTGACAACTCGGAATGAGGACGGAACCGTCAAGTGACAACTCGGAATCTCTCCCATGACTCGCCCAACTTCCCAAGTCTCAGGTTTCTTAGGCTGTGGCTAAAGGGCGCTGGACCAATGAGATCAAAGCCTCGTGGCCGTGCGCACAGCGCAGCTGCCAAGAGAAGAACTTCTCAAATGATGCCGAACAAATGCTCAGCACATGATTCTGAACAAGAATGCTACCTACGGGTTTTGGACTCAGCCCTACCAGTTCTGCCAAAAACGTTCCAAACGGCAAAAGAGAGGGCTATGAGGGTTAGGTCTTTGCATGCGAAACGGCCCTTGTTGTAACTCATGACAAACACTTCAAAAGCTACAGCACTCTATGTCCACGCACTTTCAGATCGAGTACATTGTAAGGTACTTGGAAGTACTTCCGAAGCGGAACGTTCGATCTTTCTGCCGTCGGGGAGCGGCCAAAGTCCACACGAAACTCCGGCACTGCGCTGCATGAATAGCCAGCGGCACACCAGCACAAACGATAGCGTCCACCAGCAGCTGTTATGGTCGTTGTTCCCCATGATACCGTGCTGCCACCAGATGTGGCTCCTTGCGACAAGCTCTGCACTCCGTTGTTGCTGGGGAATCTGGGCAGGTGCAAACCGGAGTCGGAGGAGCTGTCAAAATGAGAAAATTGAGACGCATTCACATAGTATCCACAAGTCTCAAGGATATGCACCAAATCACCATCTTGCAAATCTGTCCCTTGCAGCGGCTTAAGCTCACAAACTTGTCCAGCAACACAGGTCTTGTGTTGAAACAAAGGAGCAGGTCCAAGCAGTGTCAACACTCCGAAGTCCATGCGGAAGTCCTCTGCTTGGCTACACTGTGCCCCTTGTCCTGACGCGCACCAGCAGAGTCGGTATTGGCCACCAGCACTGGAGGGTGGTATCAAGCTCTCGCGTGGAGTCTGGTAACCGCCGAAGCGGAATTCATCCCCTGGCATGGCCCCGGTGAAGGCACCAGCACGTTCACAGAGGTACTTCCGTGTGCCGGTGCATGCATCATCAAAGAAGAATCCGTCGGAATCCAAATACACGCAATCCTCTGTGTTCGAAAGAGTCAGTGCAGGCTGAAGCGTCCCCCAGTTGGAGAACGCGAAGGATGAACCGTCAGAGTACACGAAGGTGCCCTCTGTGGCTTGATCGCTCAATCCAATCCAATAAGTTTCTCCAGTGTCCATGATCCACTGCACCAAGAAGTCCACATCTTCTTGTGAAGAAATGGATGCTAAGTGTCCTCCATAGATCACATCACAAGCAGCTTCGGCATCTGCCCAAGTCAAAGGCGAGGTAAACACCGCGTAGCAACTGCTGCTGGGATGAAACGGACTCCACGTCATCGACGATCCGCAGGGATGCGCCGAGGAGATCGCCGGCTCGGACAGTCCGATGGGTCCTCCTGCGGTGGAGCCCGGCCAACGATCGGTGACGGTCAAACATCCAAGGCTTCCATTGGCGGCGTCCTGCGGGCATAGCTGCCCTGCCACCTGGCCACACTCATCCAGAATCATGATCTTGTCGCCATTTTCGAGTCTGTAACCCTGGATATTGCTCACCACACAAGCTTGGCCTGCCACGCAGGTGCGGTGCTGGTCCATCAAGCTTGGCCCAGCTAGGCTAAGCTCCCCGAGCTCCACTTTGAAGTGTTCAAACATGGAACATGTTTGGCCGAACGCACACCAGCAAATCTTGTAGATGCCACCCGGCGCAGAGAAGGGCTGCGAGCTAGAGACCCCACCCCAGGTGTAGTCGGCACCTCCATTCACCGCCGGATCTGAAATGCCACAAGCGACACTTGGACGTTCATAGAGGGAGTGCTGGTCATCATCACAAGGAATGTCTCGAAGGCAATGTAAGGAGCTCCTACAGCTTCCTGTGACGCGAGGAACCAAGCTGGGATGACTCATCGAAATGCCATCCCAAATCTGTCCACAGGTGTTCAAGACCATGATCTTATCCCCCTCGGCTAAGGCGGTGCCTGTGAGACCCAGCAAGGGACATGCCTGGCCACTCAGGCAGGTCAAGTGTTGTTCCAGAGGTGAAGGTCCTTGAAATGTCAACACTCCGGCATCCGCCTGGAAGTCCGATGCGTCAAGACAGGTGTCAAAGTTGCTGGAGCTCCAGCTGGAACTGTTGGGTCTGCACCAGCAAAGCCGATACCTTCCTCCCGGAGCCATCGACGGCGCCTCAGCACCCCAGGAGCTTCCAAAGAGGTGTGAGGTGGTCACATCTCTCATGAGATAAACTTCAGACCCACTTTCGAGCCAACCGCTGTAGGTGAAATTCCAGGAGATTCCATGTGCCGTCACCACCAAAGATTCCAAAAACCATCGGTCAGCTGTATCCGAAAAGATCTTCACAGCATTCCACTCCCAGTCAGCTGGCCAAGTAGTTATGACTTGAAAGGACTGATAGTAGGACTCGAGATTGCTCAGGCTTAGGGCCGTTCCAAAGTGACACTCCAAATTGGACCTGCAAACGTAGAGCCGGAAGGGACCTGAAGAGTTCGCCCCCGGTCGGTTGCCGGTCAAGGTGGTCGCCAACAAGACGGGAGACGAAGGCTGCCAGTCGATGTTGGAGAAGCCGCAGACGCGATCCTCCTGCCGTTCGACGCTTCCAACGGTGCGGTATAAGAAGCAGGTGAGGTCACTGGGGCGATGTACCCAAGCGACACAATCACCGTAGAGACTCCTCTCACACAGGGAGCAGCATTCATCTTGTGTCTTGCCGGTGAGTCCAGATCCATGGGCGTGCAAAGCTGTAGTCTCCACGACTCCCAAACCAATGTGTCCAAAGCAGGAAGATGGCTGCAAATCTGCAGTTCCATTGAGTGGGAGACGATTTGGAACACTGTTCAAAATATCAGATGGAACACCACAAGTCTCCAAAATTTGTACCTGGTCTCCAGCATCCAGTTCCATTCCCAAGATCTCAAAGGATGCCACTTGCCCCAGAACGCACGTTCGTTCCTGTGTGTATGGACCCACCACCACCAAGGTTCCTACCAGAACTCGGAACTCGCTGGGAGCCGTGCAGCCGGTGCCGCCCACGGCGCACCAACAGATTTGATACTTCCCTCCCGGCGCGGTGAGCATCGTTCCAGAAAGGCTTCCCCAGTGCACCGTTCCGGCACCGGACGCATCCGAGATAGCGCCATCCGCCAAGCCGTCGAGGGCGGGAAGGCGACCACACTGAGCCAGAACGGCGTAGTGGTTTTGATCGGCGAGTTGGGGACCGGTCACCCCCACGAGGCTGCACAAGGTGCCGGCGATGCAACGCTGCGTCTTGCCGCGCAAGGTGTCGACATTGGCATTGCTAAAGAGGTGTTCAACGGCGAAGTCTGCCAAACCAATGTCGAAGAAACGGACGTCGTCCAAAGCTCCATGGTATGGCATCTCCTGAAGATAGTTCAGTAAGAAAACTCCACTGGAATCACTAAAAGGCAAATCAGGTGCCAAAGCAGCAAAGCCCCACCGCTGTCCGTTCCGATAAAAGACCACGGTATCTGCTTCCTTCACGAAAGCGAGATGAGTCCATTCATTCACTTCCAGGACTGGAGCTAGTGAGACAGAGCTGAGTGATGTGCTTGCATAGGGCCTCGTGTGTGGCGTCTCAAAGCTCTGTGTGTAGTTCTGCCCAGTTTCATCTAGCATGGACCACTCCAGCCCAGAGCTGCTCATGAAAATGGATGGGGAGATGTGGAGCTCTGGCAGGTGCTGTGCGAGTCGACGTCCCAAGAGACCTCCCGCACTGGAGGAATAAGGCTTCACCCACAAGGAGATGGTGAATTCGTGCAAGGAATCATTGGTATATGTGTCAAGTTCAAGGGGATCAATCGGCAGATTGAGCTGTGTGCCATCCGTGAAAAGCAATGCTCCTTGACTGTAGCCGTCTCGTCCCACCACAGCTGAAACGGAACCCGTCACAGGTGTTCCAGCAGAATCGAGGGACTCGCGCACAGACACGTCGTCCAAGTGGAAGGATGCAACACTCTGCGGGAAGAGGTCTCGGACGAGGAAATCTTTGAATTTGGCGGTGCCACTATTGCCCGTCATGGTGTAAAGTCCAATCCTTCTGCCATTGGCTGCCGTGGTGAGCTGTCGAGCTAATGGCCTCCACTCAGTCTCTGTGAAGAGCTGTTCGCTGGGAACTCCGACGGTTTTCACATAGACCCGTGGTCTCACACCGGCATCCGAGTTCCTGACATCATCAGGAGCAAGCCATGAGTTCGACAGCATGTAGAACAGATCATAGCGTCCAGTGCCCGTTCTCACCAGCTTCAGCGTCACCCAGTCGGCACCGCCCAGCGCCGTGAGATCCTCCGATGCCTCAGGTCCAGTGAGCCCCACCTGTGCGGCGTAGCGCAGTGCCACCAGACCACCGGATCCGCCGGTCCAGCCGCGCGAGGAGAAGGTGTCCAAGCCAAAGAGCAAATCGGGCATCATGCCGTCGCGGTCCACCAAGGTGAAGCCCGCGGAGATCTCCGAGCTGGTCAACGCCACCGCCACGCGCGCCTCCCAGAGCCCGGAACTGGGAGCCTCCACGTAGAGGATGGGCATGGAACCTCGAGCTGCTCCCAGCTCGGTGCTGCTTAAGCAATGTATGGCCAAAACCGGTCGAGTGGAATGGCTGAACTCCTTGATCTCCACCACGGAGGGCTCCGGGAGATCCTTGCGCCAGAGATCCTTCGGCTCCAAGGGGCCTGCGAGTGGCGCGAAGAGATCGGCCAGGTACTCGGAGGGCCCCGCGAGGAGCAACGTTCCAGCCTGAATTGCATTCGCACGCACGTCGTGCAGCACGTGCCATAGGCTGGCTTTTTTTGGTTGGCTCGACTTTAGGGAAACAAAAGAGAAGGTCGATCTTTTTGTGCATTGGAATCCTAGGAATGGGTTCTTTAGAAGGAACATGACTTTGGCCCTCTCTCGTTTGCGAACAAGGTTGGCTCATCGTCAAACAATGTACAACACAGGGGTTCTTACTTTAAGGCTGCAAACTCTGTTGATCGCAAGAAAGCAAATGATCTGTGATTGAACTCTTCATGTTTCACCCCATTCTTTTTGCTCAAGGTGATTTGAAGAAGGTTGTTTGTTCCAAAACATCACTGTATGTTTTTGTTTCAGTCGATGGCATCCAATCGAGAGTAACAAACAAGACTTTCTTAAAACGAGTTTTCCACGAACTGCAAAGCATTTCTTGATTCCTGGCCTCTGTCTTGAAGTCTTCCGACGAACTGCATCCGCTGACTCCAGCACACCAGCACAAACGGTAGACGCCACCTGCCGAAACATGATCAAACTAGCCAAACATATTCCAGTAGACCTATCTTCCTTTTCTTTTTTTGTTTTCTACTAGCGATGGCCTCCAACCCAATAGAGATTCTAACATTCATTCCAGGGCATGTTTCCCAGCATCTCTCCAAATGAACAAAACATATCAGCAATATCTTTCACATCACATCAAATCCCTGCTGATCCATGATAGAGCCCTGGTTCTGGGGTTTTGAAGCCTGTCGTTGCAGTCCACCTAGCCACTGCAAACACTAGCATCTCATGCAGCTATGACCTTGCAAACTTGCCAGAAAACAAACCACACAGAAACAACGAGCTAGCTTCGCTATGGCCGTAAGAGAGTCGTCTGTCGCATCTCCAACGCCCAAGTTGCGTAACGTCGCGTCTTCCCCGCCCCCACCTGCGGCGGTGATGGGCTCAAGAGATCCCCAGGAGAATTGGACATTTTCTCCAACATAGTCTTCCAATTGCAACTGTCCTCTCTCGGGGAAACCGGGAATTTCGGGATATCGACTTCGCGGAAATGGCCAAGCTTGTACTGGGGCACCACATTCGTCAGCCACCATGAGGTGATCCTCGCTGCTCATATGGATTCCCACGATGGAACCCCAGCAGGGGAAGCCCGACGCACAGTAGACCTCTTGATTTCCCAAGGGACCAATGAGACGCAGTTCGCCGATGTCAACTCCAAAGTGTTCGATGAGTTCACAGCGATATCCAGCAGCGCACCAGCACAGCCGGAACTGTCCACCAGAAGCTGTAAGTGGTTCTTCACCCCAGGTAAAGAATGTTCCAGATCCAAGACCAGGCATAGATAAACCATCCTGAGGAATGCCAGGCACCTCGCTGCCCAAGATGCCACAGGTGCTCAAAATGTGAAGCGTATCTCCATATTGCAACTCAAGACCTGTGATGTTTGCGACCTCACAAGGCATTCCTCCGATACAGGTGCGGTCTTGATCTACCGGAGATGGACCTAACAGCAGGAGCTCCCCAAGATCTGTTGCAAACTCCTCCGCTGCAGAACAACTCACGTACTGGCGTGTAGTGTGTGTAGGTCGACACCAACAAAGTCGGTAACTTCCACTGGGCGCTGTGATGAAGAGGTAGCTGTAGGTGCTGTTCTCCTCCATCCACGTGAAGGTTTCACCATTTGGCATCACTGTGGTGACAATGCCATCGTTGGGAAAGCGAGGAATCAGATCACTCAAACCGGAAGGAACGATGCCGCAGGTCTCTCGCACCATTAGGAGGTCGTCCGCCGACAAGGAGTGTCCGAAGATTGAGGTCAAACGACAGCTTTGGCCACTCATACAGGTGCGATCCTGCTGCAATGGAGAGGGACCATGAAGTTGCAATGATCCTAAATCCTGGCGAAAGTCTTCCACTTCAGTGCAGTTGAAGCCTCCGGCACACCAGCATATCCGATAAGTGCCACCAGCAGCAGTGACCAGCATGCCAAAGTCAAAGTTGTTGAAGAGGCTATTGGAATATCTAGGATCCGTGCTTGGCACGCCGAGCGTGTTCCCCAGTCCATCTTTGATGACTCCATGGAAGGACTGGGCACTGGCGAGGCCCTTCTGTGGCCAGCCATGGTCACCTGAAAAGTTGAGATCCCCAAGATTGCTCACCCCACAGGTATCCAAAATCATGATCTGATCATCAATCTGTAGACCTTCACCCAGAAGGCCTTGAATGTGACAGTCTTGTGCTGTGACGCAGGTCACGGATTGCTCCAGCTTCGGGCCGAAGAGACGCAATTCACCCACATCCACACGCAAATCTGAAGCGGAGACACAGGCAGCTGCAGCTGCACACCAACAAATCCGATATTGTCCCGATGCCGCTGTGATTGGAGTGGTGAAGCTCAAGGAAACCACCTGAAGCTCCTGCCATTGCAAAGACTGTGGCAGGTTCCAAGCTTCCAAATCTGCTTCACGAACCAGGATCTCTGGCTGCCCAGCAAGTGGGAAGCGATCAACCACTCCAAAGCCACAGGTCTCCAAGATCATATAGGAATCTGCTGTGCTAATGTGGAGACCTTGGAGGTTTTCAATCTCACATGGCTGTCCAGCGACGCATTGGTGATGTTGGAAAGCTCCAATCTCTGGACGTAGTCTGCCACGTTGTTCCAAGTAGAGTGTTCCCCAATCTTGAGAAATCGACTCCGTAAAGGCTCCCACTGCAATCTGTGAGGGTCCCACCAAGAGAAGCTCACCAACGGCCACTCGGAAATCGCTGGGTAAATCACAACGGCTTGAGCTCGCTTCACTGGAATTCACGATGGCTCTGCACCAGCAGAGTTGATAGCGACCGCCGGATGCTAGGACTGGAGAAGCCCAAGTGATTGAAGAGCCGCTGCTGGTGACACTGATGTTCTCGTTGAAGCCTGGAATCGCTGAAGTCGTCACACCACAGGTCTCCAAGGCCATGAAGCGATCGTCGTCGTCCAAATGGACACCGACGAGGTCTTCGATGACGCAGGACTGTCCACTGAGACAGGTTCGAGCCTGAGAACTCGTTGGCCCGATCAAGGTCAAGCTGCCCACCGTCACCTGTGTCACTCACGTGAGAAAAGAACGAGAAAAAACCACAAGAGGCGCATTTAAGAAACAAGATGGGGAGAACACACGCACACACCACACTGTAAACAAAGTAAAGTGCACTGTGAAGTCAGGTGCCCCTTCTTTCTGGTGCTCTAGAAGATTGCTTTCCGGAAATAGTAAACCGAAGAAAAAACGGCTTTTCGACTTTTTGTGTCTTTTCAAAGACAACTACTTGAGCCAAGAAGCCGCGTGGTATGAGAGCTCCGCAGCAGCGTTTGTGAGAGCGGAAGACCAACAGAGTTGATACATGCCTCGGTGTTTCAGATTCTATTTTTCTGGGGAATCGTTTCACCTGTAACAAGAAGCTACTAGGAGGTCTTTGAAGCTACTAGTCACAAGGATGCTGCTGGCATGTCTTTGAAGCTACAAGGACCAAGGACGCTACTAGGAACGCTCTTGTTATCTTTGTGTTTCCATGAACTTATTCACAAGAAAGCTCTACTGAAGCGAAACAATGCCTTGCAGATGCCTGGCAGTGTTGTAAGCTAAAGTCGACACAGCAAACAACCCAACCGCTCTAAGCGCATGGCCGCCTGCTGCCGTGAGGAGGCTGAAGGTGAACGAGGCCCCGGAACTCTGCGCCGTAGATGCCTCCACCAAGATGCCAGACCTTCGCACGCCACAGGTGTCCAGGATGGCCAAGGTGTCGAAGAACCCGACGTGTTCGCTGAGACCGTGGCCATGGATGTCCTCCACGACGCAGCTGTGCCCCGCAATGCACGTTCGACCCGATCTGATCAAGTGAGGTCCAAGGAGTTCCAGATTCCCGATCGTCACAAGGAAGTGTTCTTCACGGATGCAGGGTGGGGAACTGCCTGAACACCAGCAAAGTTTGTATTGTCCACCATGAGCCGTGACGATGGTTGTACCAAAAGTCAACTCACAGTCTCCTCCCTGACAGGATTCATTGGTCATGGGAATCACAGTGAGCAAACCTGCATCTGGCAATCCAGTTACTAGACCTCCTCCTTGACCGCAAGTCTCAAGAATCATATACGAGTCGCTGGGAGATAGCATCTGACCCAAAGGTGTGGAAAAGCTACAGGGCTGGCCACTGATGCAGGTTCGTGTTTGGTCCAGGGAAGGGCCGATGAGCAGCAACTCCCCCACGTCCACATTGTAATGTTCACTTGTACTACATACGAAGCCAGCCGCACACCAGCACAGCCTGTAAGTCCCGGCTCCACGGGCTACTTCTGATCCGAAGTCAATGCTGGCACCACTGTTGGCGACCGACACCACTTGTCCAGCATTGGGCATTCCCAAGACCGGAACGGTCGCAGCGCAGGTCTCCAAGAGAAGCCAACGGTCTCCAACACTCAAACCCGTGCCTTGTAGCCCGTCAATCGCACATTCTTGTCCAGCCACACAAGTGAAAGCAAAGCCCTTCTTGGGCCCCAGGATGTGGAGCTTGCCCAGATCGATCTGAGCCAGTCGCGCCTCCTCCTCCTGCTCAACACACGTCGCATCATCACACCAACAAAGCCGATATTCCCCACCCGCACTGGAAAGCCTTGTTTGGCCAAACGAGGCAGATGCCCCGGATGCCGAGATCGTCAAAGTACCATCCGAGGGGAGCGCTGAGATCAATGCAGTGGTACCGCAGGTCTCAAGCACCAACAAGACCGGCTGTACGAGCTTCTGTGGTTGAAGTTCACCGGAAAAGCCATCGATCTCGCATCGTTGCCCCGACACGCAGGTCCGTTCCACGGGGAAGGGAGCCCAAGGACCCACGATGCTGAAGCGCCCGAAGTCCACCAAAAAGCTCTGTGAAGACCAACAGTCGAGAGCTGAACACCAGCACATCCGATATTCTCCACCATGTGCAGTAATCGAAGTGTTCCACTCAATCTTCAAAGAAGCCAATGATGTTTCAAAGACCAAATTTGGCTGCTCCAGTGGAAAGCGCCAAGGCAAAACTCCTGTGTCCTGCAAAATCATTCAAAAGCTCGTTGCAGCATCTTGACAGCCGTTTGGGGGTTGCGCTTTAGAAATCTAATGGAATCTGATGATTTCTTTACACACTTCTTATCTCCAGCAAAACAACTTCTCCTCCCCAACGCCACAGGTATCCAAAATCATCACGGCCCCGGCAGCACCTGAAGGCTTTGTTGGGTCGAACTGCTCGCACATGGAGGAGACTGATGGACCATGTTGTTTTCTTTTGCTGAACGCCTTTTGCAAAACATCGTTTCATGACTTCCGGGTGCAATCCACTTGCTGCCTACTCTAAAAAGCATATGGAGCAGAATCCCAGATCCAAAGGCCCTCTCCTCTGAGATCCATGTCTTGATCCATTTGCGACTTGCGACTTCAACGGAGTCTCAAAGCAAAAGCAACGGCACAAGCACTGGCGCACGGACTCGCCGATCCGGTTCGATCCACCACCGAGCAGTTAGGGTTAAGACCGAGAACCAAACAGTGAGACCTCCCCAATCCCGACTTGTCAGGAACCCCAAGTGGAAAAAAAAAAGAGGGTGGGTGTGCTTGGGAGAGCACACACTAGCTCAAAACCCTTAGAACACACTGTAAATACTGTGCAAAATTTCAAAAACTGCTCTGAGAACTAGGCGAACCGCAATTTTTTGGATCTGTCTGTGCCCAGTCTCCATGTCCAATGTCAATGACAACAAATAACAGCTCTTCGTCTGCCCACTATCAATGTGCAACACCAATGATAAATATTATCATGTAAATCTCTCTCTGCCCACAATGAATGTAGCATCATGAGCGAATGAAGATATAATACTATACATCTCTAGATTCAATAGCTTTCCTCTGGATCTCTGGGAAAGTAGATTTCCTAGATTTATGTATTTTCATTGAAGGAAAGCATTTGAAAGAAACACATACATACTTATAGCTTTTTTAAAATACCATGATTATTTCCAGAGATCAAGAGGAAAGCTTTTGAAATGAAAGCTTTATATTTTTTCACAGAAGTGATCAGATCTAGAGGGAACCTTTTGAATTAGAAGTTTGTACATAAAGCAGTTTTAATATATATAGCAATGAATATTCCAAGGGATTACTTTAAACAAATACTATCTACTCAAAAACATAGTTTGTGTCTTATTCCCAGCACTCCTAGGGCAAAAAACACTGTAAAATATAGGGTTTTGTAACATGTGTGTTCTTAAACTAACTAAACTGGAATTAACATAGAATTAGGCAACCTCAAATTAGAAGATTTCAATCACGATCCTTTTAACATTGATTGTGAAATTTGCTATTTATTAGATATTAGATTGCAATAAAAATCATTTCCAAGTTCTCTTTAAAACTCATTGTGGAAACTAGTTCTTACAATTAGATTTCAGTCAAAGTCCTTTTCAAAGTTAGTGGTGGCTTTGATTTAATATCAGATTGTGTTTAAAGTCGATTTAAGATCAATTGTGGAAATTGTGATGCTTAACTAACTTGAATTGATATTGTATCTGTTTGCTCCCCACTACAAGGCTACATCAAATAAAAGGACTTTAACTAACATCTAATTATAAGAATTGATTTCCACCATTAACTATTAACTGAAAGTTAATTTTCACAATCAATTCTAAAAGGGTCTTGATTGATATCCAATACACAAGCAATTCAATCAAATTATGTTGAAAAGAACTCAAATTAAAATCTGAACAACAAGCAATGTCCACAATGATGTTGAAAAGGACATTAATTGACATTTAAGTAATGCCTAATTTCTAGAATGAAATATAATAGGATTTTAATTGAAATCTAATTCAAAATCAATTGCCACAATGATCTTGAAAAGGCATTTAATCGAAGTTGAATTACACATTCATTTTTCTATGATTAATCTTGAAGAAATGTTAATTGAAATCTAATATAAACATCAATTTCCCCAATGATTATGACAATGATATAAATGAAACTTAGTTTGTAAACAATCTACACTTAATCTTAAACACATTTTTAATAGAAAGCTAATGATAAATCAACTTCCACCAATAATTCTGAAAGCGTTTTAATTGAAGTCTAATACCAAAATCAATTGAAATCCAATTTAACATCAAATTCCACCGTTAAACTTAAATGAAGCAAAAGCACTGTGTTTTACAGTGATTTCTTGCAAAATCCTCTCCAAAATTGAGGTTTTGAGCTATTTTTTGATCAATTTTGTGAGATCCAAGCCTATCCCAATTTAGAGGGAATACCAAAAAACCAAAAAAACAATAAACCAAAAACCCAAAAAACAAAAAACCAAAAAAAACAAAAAAAACAATGTTTGAGACAAAATGGGGTCACTATTGGTTTTTGGATGTTGGCTGCATTTTGTGTCAAACATTGTTTTTTTTTTTTGGATTTTTGGTTTATTGTTTTTTTGGTTTATTGTTTTTTTGTTTTTTTGGTATTCCCTCTAAATTGGGATAGGCTTGGATCTCACAAAATTGATCAAAAAATAGTTCAAAACCTCAATTTTGGAGAGGATTTTGCAAGAAATCACTGTAAAACACAGTGTTTTTGTATCATTTTTTGCATGAAAAACATCTCCCAGGAGCACCCGTTCTGAAAAAAAAGGGGCCTCCACCCCATGTTTAAGGGTCTAAGGGACGGCAGCCGTTCCCGCAGGCCGAGCCGTGGACCCGAGCTCCGACGCGACGCGGGCCAGGGGACTGATGAAGGTCCCGGAGATGCCATCCACGCTGCAGGTCTGACCTGAGGTGTACGAAACAATCAGAAACGTTACCCCCAAGAGAAGCCACAAGGAGTACAGCTTTGGTGTTTGGTTCAATATGGTTCCAGTGTTTCAACCAAAACAATGCAAACAAAAGGGGTATACTACACATGTTACTACATATGTTTCAATTGGTGCAGGTTGCTTTCTTTCACTTTGCGCGCTGCGTTTGTTTTTCGTTTCTTGGAGCCAGGATGCCCGTCATGCAGGTTCGATCTTGCTCCAAACTTGGACCAATGAGGGTCAGCTGGCCGATGTCCATGAAATCTGAAGGCAAGAAGCACTCAAAGCCTCCAACGTTTGCACGCAAACGTGGAAAGTAAAAAAAAAGGCCATGCAAAAAGAAAAGAGATGACATCTGAAGCTGTTGCACCAAAGCCTCCAAAGCCTCCGGCACACCAACAGATTCGATATTCGCCACCTCCTGCTGTGACAATGGCGGCCAAAGCGCCACTACTGCCAAGCTGCAAACGACTGGTGCCAAGCGCGCCGGTCTGCGATGAAAGGACGGGTGTTCCTTCGCTTGGGAAGCTATTCAAGCCCGGTGTCCATGATGAGATTCCGCAGGTGTCTAAGAGAACTGCTGTGTCTTGGCTGCTCAAATATGTACCCGACACTGGGATCACACAAGTTTGACCTGAAAAGCATGTGGACGTGCCAAGCTGGTGCGGTCCGACTAAGTCTAATCTTCCCATGTCCACTTGGAAGTCCTCAGCACCACTACAGCTTTGTCCAGCTGCACACCAACAGATTCGGTAGAGACCTCCTGCAGCTGATACCCGGACGTTCCAAGAGACCGTGCTTTCACTCGTGGAGACATTCACATCGCTGATTCCTGCTCCAGGAAAGCCCGTGGGGCCCGTGGCGATGCCACAGGTGTCAAGGATGTAATAGCGATCTGCGGTCGAGAGCGTGACGCCGGACAGGGCACCAAGCAAGCACGTCTGCCCCGCAACACAGGTTCGGTCTTGCTCCAATGGCTGTGGACCGATGATTTGCACCTGTCCAACATCCATAAGGTACTGAGTGGCATCTTGACAAGTGGACACCGCAGAACACCAGCAAAGGCGATAGATGCCACCTGCTGAGGTGAGCAACTCTGCATTGAAGGAGGTCCGTGCAAATGTGATTGCCACAGCCGCATCTGGGTGAAAAACACTATCTGTGGTCAAATGACCAGAGGCGGGGCTTCTTGCAAGGGTGGAAGCTTCCCCACAGGTGTGCAAAATGACGAAGGCATCAGCTGCGTTCAAGCGCCAACCTTCAACGGAGAAGGAGCACGGTTGTCCAGAAATGCATGTACGATGCTGCCTTCCAGCCTGTGTTGGCCCAATCATTTGCAACTCCCCCATGTCAACGGCAAAATGCGAAAACTCCCTGCAAAGCCCTGAGCACCAGCAAAGCCTGTAGCTGCCACCGCTAGGTCTGGCGACATCTGAAGATGCAAAGGCTGCAAAGTCCTTCTGTGGCAATGGCTGCCACTGAGTTGTATCGAAGTGATCAATCTCTTTGTATCTGGCACTGGTCTCTAAACCGCAGGTGTCCAGCACCAAGAGACTCTGATTCGCCATGCTCAGTCCCCTAAAGCTCCCCAGGACACACTGGGCACCCACCACACAGGTCCGATCTTGCTCTAGTGGTCGGGGCCCTAAGAGGTAGAACAAGCCCAGGCTGAAAGCGCAATTCTCAGCTTGGCTGGAGCCGGTGACATTGGGACACCAACAAAGTTGATAGATTCCCCCAGCTGCAGTGCTCGCAGGGAAAGCCAGCGATAAGGTGGAGGCACCGGAAGGAAATGTCGGACTTCCCACTGACAATTGGGCCTGCAAATCTGGGAAACTTGCTTCCATTTCAGGCATACCACAGGTTTCCAGGAGCAACACACTGTCACCCTCTGAAAACCAGTGTCCATGGATCTCGCTGAGCAAACACGCCTGTCCGGCCACACATGTGAAGTGCTGTTCTTGGGAGATTGGCCCCACCACTGTAAAGCTGCCCACATCAACGTGAAACTGGGATGAGGTGGAGCAATCAAATGCACCAGAGCACCAGCAAAGCGTGTAGGTACCCCCAACCACTTCCAAAACGCCGTGGGATGCAAACGTGGACACCTCTGTCCCATTGTATCTCTCAAATTGACTCACAAAGTGTGCCACGGGCATGGATGCGTTGTCTCCGCTGTCTGCCTCCAGTGTTGTCATGCAGGAGTCCAGCACAAGGAGTTGATCCCTTGAATCCAAGTGCAAACCTTCGAAGGCAGCGACACGACAAACTTTGCCACTGAGACAAGTCCGATCCTGATGCAAATCGCTTGGACCGATGATTTCAAGTGTTCCAACATCTGTTGTGAATTCCTGCTCGCTCTGACAATGTTCTTCCGTCGCACACCAGCACAAGCGATACAAGCCTCCAGCTGCAGAGACTGCAATGTCACCAAGCGTATAAAAGGACGCCTCCTCTTGTGTTCGCCGGTCAAAGACTCCCGGGCACTGGTCATGGCAGTCGGGAACCCCATCATTGTCTGCATCCGTGTCCGACACGCCGCAGCCACAAAAGCCCGGAAGAGTTTTGCTGGCATCACTGGGACACTGATCCATGCAATCTGCAACGGAGTCAGAGTCTGTGTCAGTGTCTGCCACTCCACATCCACACTGTCCTGGTGATGTCTTTGCTGCATCCAAAGGACATGCGTCCACACAATCCATCTGCCCATCCAGGTCAGTGTCTGTTTCAGCTACTCCACATCCACAAACACCTGCCGCCACTTTGTTGAAGTCGTTGGGACACGCATCAAAGCAATTCGAGACTCCATCACCATCATCGTCCGCTGTTGCGGCGGTGCAACCGCACACCGGTGGTGTTTGATCTGGAAAGCTGGGACATTGGTCATAGCAGTCGGGGGTTCCATCTGAATCACTGTCGGCACTGTCCGAAGTACCACAACCACACAAACCAGGTGTCGTCTTGGATGCATCGTTGGGGCACAGATCGATGCAATCCGGTGAACCATCCAAATCTGTATCGACATCACTGGTGCCACAGCCACAGTGACCTGGAGATACGTCCTTGGACGCATCGGATGGGCAAGCGTCCAAGCAGTCGGGTGTGCCGTCACCATCTGAATCGATCTCATCGATGCCACATCCACAAAGACCAGTGAGATTGTGATTCACGTCAAAAGGGCATTCATCCAAGTAGTTGGCAATACCATCCAAATCCGCATCTTGCGCAGCTGCACCACATCCTGCTGCAGTTCGGGGTTCTTTGGCCGTAAAGACTCCAGTGTTGGGCAAGCGTGCCAGTGTGCCTCCTGTACTTCCGCTTCCACATGTGTCTAAGATCCGCAGAATACCCAGTCCAAGCTCACCGTAGGAAGAGAAGCCCTCAAAATGACATGGCTGTCCTGCAACACAGGTGCGATGTTGCTGCAAAGGTGTTGGACCAAGCAAGCTTAAGGATCCAATGTCCAAGGCAAAGTCTTCAAAGCTGCTGCAACTCATTCCCGTTGCACACCAACAAATCCGGTACTGGCCTGCTCTCATGGGATTCTGAAACTCATAGGATGCTCCACTTGAGCCTGCCATGGAGAGCACTGTCCAAGGAAATGGTTGGGCTGACAAATCATTCATGCAAGTATCCATCACAGCCACCATGTCATACTCTGCCAAGCTTTGTCCAATCGTATCCAGCTGGCACGCCTGACCATTGATGCAAGTCCAGCTCTGCTGTAAGGATGGGCCAACAAGCCAAAAGCGTCCGACATCCATACGAAATTGAGAAGGTTGGCTGCAATCCTGATTGAAACCACACCAACAGAGTCTGTATTCACCACCTCCAGCTGTGATTTTGGCTGGGCCAAATCCCAACGCAAAGGTGTCATTGAAGCTCGATGAGAGCGAGCCACCTTCTGGCAAACCTTCCACAAATGCGTGCGTGCCACACGTATTGAGCACCGTCACATGATCACTCACGTGCAAACCGGTGCCCAGAAGCTCGTCCACTCGGCAGGTTTGGCCAGCTACACAGGTGCGATCTTGCTCCAAGGTGGGTCCATCGATCTCCAAAGATCCAAAGTCCACAAAGCCCTGCACTCGGTCACAGCTGAATCCTGCTGCGCACCAACATAAACGAAATTCTCCTCCTGCAGCAGTGACTGGGACACTAAACTGTACGGCCAGGCCTTCATTGGCGATATCCGACTGACCAGGGCATGCGTCATAGCAGTCCGGAATGCCATCACCATCACTATCAGTGTCTGGCACATTACATCCACACAGACCTGCTAGACTCTTGCTGGCGTCACTGGGGCATTGATCCACGCAGTCCAAAACACCATCGCCATCCGTGTCCGTGACATCACAACCACAAGGACCCAGCTGTGTAATGGGAGAATGTGGGCACATGTCCAAGCAATCTGGCATGCCATCACCATCCGAGTCCGTGTCCACGACGCCACATCCACAGGCGCCCACGAAGACCTTGTTGAAGTCATTGGGACATTGATCGATGCAATCGGGGACTCCATCCAGGTCTGTATCCACGTCTGAGAGCCTCGGAGAAGTGGGGGACACCGGTCGCTTTTGGTTGGTGAGATACCTCGTGGCCGGTACTGAGGGCTTCCCTCACCACGCCCACGTGTTCTCTCACGTTGGAAGGAAAAGGGGTGCCCAAAGAAGATCATGTTCAAGCACCGATTGGACTGTTCTCGGACAGAAGGACTTCATTTCAACATTCTGGACACTTAAGACAGAAGACACGATAGATGTGCGTGCAGAAAACAAGAAGTAAGCGCATTTCCTTGGTCGCTGTTTTCCGCTTTTCTATGCTGTGTTTCAGCGTTCTCTTGCATGAAGACTGCTCGGTTTGTCTCGGTCAAAGCGTGAGAAACTCTGCGACTGGACTGCCTTGAAACTGTCGACCTAAGAGTGGGGCCAATTCCGGGGGTATGCTTCTTTTGTTCGGTCAAATCTGAACATGGTGCGGCTTGGCAAAAGCACCGCAGCTCTACGCAGTCGACCGTCTTTCCGCCATGGCACCCACATCCGCAGGAGCCCAGTAAGGTCTTGGTCGCATCGCTGGGACACTGGTCCAGGCAGTCGGCGACCCCATCCAAATCGGAATCGATTTCAGTGAAGCCTCCGTTGCAACCCACAGGGTGAAAAAGCGGTTTTTGCGTTACTCTTGAACGGGAAAACACATGCAAAAACCAAGCAAAGAATCTGCAACATCGTCTTGCTTTGCGTGTTGCGATCCAGAGTGTCAAGTGCGTTCAACGCAGTGAAAACACAGCGAAAACAGCCCAATGCATGTTCGTATGTTCGTTGGCAAAACGAGAAGTGATTCAAGGGTCACGCGGAAGCACACCGAGGTAGCTTGTCCAAATCAGTGCATTCAGGACAATACATGACAAACAGGTACATACCGTGCATATCTTAATCAGTTGTCTTGGGATCTCGCCAAAGAAACAGCCGTGCTGTTCCCAGGCCTGTATTGATGGTCATCGTTGCACTCGGGGTACCATCAGAATCCACCACCTGACAACCACATTGTCCTGGACTCGTTCTTGATGGGTCCTGTACGCGCAATCTCTCCGGTCACAGAGTGTAATAAAATCTGTGCCACAAGATCCCATGAAAGTCAGTAAAGAATACAGTCACAAGAAGCTACTAATAACAAAGGGCATCGCTACGAACGGAGCAAGAAGCTACTACTAAAGCACTTTTTGCAAGGCACGTATGGGCAAAAATCTTCATAGTCCAACGTGCCATCATCATCCGAGTTGAGCCCGGCGATGAAGCCACAGGGGATGGACCCGGGTCCAAGGGAGTCGGTCATCCAAGGACAGTTGTCGTTGCAATCCTTGGGAACGAAGGCCGGATGCGTCCGCACGTAAGCGAACACGAATGCGTCCGCACGGAACAAGGCCGGTGGCCGCTATTAGGTTGGAGGGCATCGCTACTAGTAGCTTCTGGCATTACTACTCGGAACAAGAAGCTACTAGGAACTTGGGAAAGAGTATAAACAAGACATATTCCCCAGAAGCGGATTTACCCATAGACCGGGAAAAGAACCAATGAAGTACGAAAGCCCGCACAAAACCAGGAATCGGGGGTGCCATCGGAATCGGTGTCCAACTCCGACTGTCCACAACCACAAATGCCCACGCGAGTCTTCAAGGGATCCAGTGGACATTGATCAATGCAATCGGGTGTACCGTCACCGTCCGAATCATCGTCCAGCTCACCACATCCGCAGGTGCCCAAGTACCTCGACATGCTGAAGAGACCAAGTGCGCAATGCTTGATTTCTGCGTTTCGTCTCTCGCTGATTCATTCGATGCACAAGACTTTTGGCTGATTCATTTTGGCCGATAGATGATTCATTCCTTCCATTTGCACAAGACCTTTTCAAGCTCAGTTACATCTTCAAAGGGTCTTTCGGACATTGATCTATACAGTCGGGTGCTCCGTCACCATCGGTATCTGTGTCCACAAGCCCACAGCCACAAGCACTGCCAAGGCCGGACAACAAGCAGTTGCTATTGGTCTCATAGTGTGTTCCTGCAAGTGGACTTCCGCTTGAAGAGTTCCCCACAGCTGGCTCTGCAAAGACTTGGACGTTGCAAAGGGTTAATTCTGCAGTGAAGGGCAAAACAAGCCAAACTAGCTGTCCTGAAACGATTCACAGGTTTAAAGAAATAGAGAGCAAACCAAGAGGACAATCCGGCAACATCTTGAAATCAGTAACTCCAGCTTGAAACAGCCCCTCCAGTCACTTTGTCTGGAACTTATCGTCTACGACCGTCTTCCTGTTTTCAGAGGAATCCTATTGTTGGCCTTTCTTTCTTGCTAGTAGTAACAGGTGCCACGCTAGTAGTAACAGGTGCCTTACTAGTAGTAACAAGGTTCGCTGGTAGAAACAAGTGCCTTTCTTTCGTAAAAAACGCGCTCCTATTGCTGTTCATGCAAAGTCTTGGCTCTCCACCATCTCAAGGTTTCACCGGTTTTCACCTTTCATCGCAATGGCCTCGTTTCCTTAAAAAGACGATGGCCCCTAACCTAGTATGTGTAACCCAATGTGGATGTTCATCTTGCCACACCAACAGAGGTTGAAAGACCCGAACGTTCGGCTATCCCAGTTCGGTACCCCAGGTTACGTGTCCTAGTTCAGGTCACTTAACCTCTGTTGGCAGCTGCTCACTGTGCTGTCCTTCACCTTGGCAAGACATGTCGATGACCGGGGCTTCTTCCCCCACGGCGGGCAACGCTGGCTGAAGCGTGACGACCCCACAGCGCGTGCCATCCGTGAAGCTTGTGGCACCTGGTGACGCGAGGAGAATACAAACCGGTTGAGAAAAGAGAAGTCTGAGGTCTTTTAACTTGTCTTTGATTGTTCTATTGGAGCCAAAGAGAAATCTGAAAGGAAGGTCCAACAAAAGAGAGAGGAAACAAGCAGCAACCATGAATTCTAGTTACCTAGGCGCGCGGTTTAGCGCTTATTCTGACTCCCTGACAAGCTCTTTGAATTGCGTTTGTTAAGGTTCCCTAAAAATCCAGGAACCAATTGATTATGTGCGAGCGTGAGCTATCCTGCATCCTAGGTAGTAGTGTCCTAAGCTACGAAGAAGCTGATTCCCTTACTCAATCTAAGCCAATCTAAGCAGTCTTAGGGTTTTTTTGGGGGGGCACAGGCAGAGCCGACTCGGCTCAACAAGAAAGATCCGAAAAACCACGGCCGAATCCCCTCCAGCATCGCTCCGAGGAGCTGATGGAACTGGTCCAAAGTTCCAATCCCACCAGGCTGCTGTCGCAGCAATCGCTCCGCGGCGTCACACGCACCGTGGAGACTTGGAAGGTGAAGCCCAAATCGACGTACCACCAGGGTGAGCTCTCCGTATTCGTCCAGGTACAACTGCCTTGGTAGAAGTTCGCACTTATGGAGGCATCCACAGCCAAGTGGGAGCTTCGCAAGGACTGCGTGGAAGACTGATGTGTGACTTTGTTGCTCATCACCAGCCATTCAGGTCCAGGGCAGATTCCGGGACGGTACTTGTTGGGGTCGCTGGGACAGAGGTCCAGGCAGCCTGGAATTCCATCAAGGTCCGCATCCACTTCAGCCACATTGCATCCACAAACTCCTGCCCCCCCCAAAAAACAGCTGCAGTCTTGGACAGAACAACACTGAACAGGACCATAACACCGAACACGAGAACACACCACTTTTTTTTTGTGCATCAAACGCGTCTCGCACCACTCTTTCCGTTTGTTGGTAACGGTGATTGAACATGTGATGATCGACGTGTGTGTTTTCGCACCGTGTGTACACGCGACGTGTTTCTGCACCAGGTCCTGCAGTTCCGGACTTACTGGGATCTGAAGGACATTGGTCTAAGCAGTCGGGGATGCCATCGAAATCCGAATCCACGTCGTCCACACCACAGCCACAAGCTCCAGCGGTGGTGCTATTGGGATCGAAGGGGCAGGCATCCAAGCAGTCTTTCACACCATCCAGGTCGGAATCACCGTTGCTGGCAGCACATTGACACTGCAAGATCACATCCATGCGACCAGCATTGGGAAAGCGTGGCACAGATCGTTCAACTCCACAGGTGTCGAGAACCACCAAGCTATCGCCGGGAGACAAATGATTGCCTTTGATCTGCTCCAAGACGCAGAGCTGGCCACTCACGCAGGTTCCAGTCTGCTTTTGGCTCGGTCCAATCATACTCAAGCTGCCAACATCCACTCCGACGTCCTCGATGCAGAACTGACCACTGCACCAGCAAAGTCGGAATTGACCTCCTGATGCTATAGGCTCTGCAGTTGAGACTGACAGAGATTCTCCAACCAGAGTCACAAGAAGAGGAGGTAGAATTGATGGTACTCCACAGGTGGCAGTGATCAGGACTTCATCAGTAGCATGCAAATAGTGTCCAGAAATCTCAAAGGAACATGCCTGTCCACTTACACAGGTCCGGTCCTGCTCCGAATTGGCACCAATGACCGAAAACGTGCCAACATCCAGTTGCATTTCATCTGGATGTTCACAAATGCCATCAGCACACCAACACAAACGGTATTCCCCCGCTTCGAGTGCTTCGCCCGCCTCCAGCACCAAGCGATTGGGCATCCAGTGCTCGGACGCGTTGCTTCGCGTGAAGCTGCCAAGCCACTGCCGTTCGGACACCGAGCCGTTTCCCGAGCCGGTCCAGCCGGATCCACAGGTGTCCAGCACATGCAACGAGCCGTTCACGTAGATGTCTTCAATCAGGCACGCTCGTCCCGCTACGCAGGTTCGATCCTGTGTGGTGATGGAGATGCTGAGATTGGCGACGCCCGTCACATTCAAAGGCCAAACTGTTGTGAGATCAACTTCAGAGCCTCGGTGTGAGATGTCCGTCGCCAGCTGATTACTAGGCTTTTGGTGCCCCCCAAAACACCGCACGAAAAGCAACCCCCAAAAAAGGTGGTCTAGAGTCTGAACCAGTTCTTCTTTCCCCAAAACACCAAAAATAAAGAACATGTCCCCGTCCAGGTGCTCATGTTCTCCGCTGGCACTATGACGTAGACTTCTCCGAAATCGGTTCGGAATTCACGAGCATCCAAACACCCTTCGCTGGAATTCACGTCGAGGACCACAGCAGCACACCAGCAAAGCCTGTATGTCCCGCCTGGAGCATGTCACAAAAACTACGAACAAAAAGGGACACGAACGAGATCCTGAGGTGAACGAACGCTGTTTCATCTGGGAAATGAAACAAAAAGCCCACGCAATTTTGCGGATGCCCACGAGAAAACGGATGCAATGTTTGTCGCTGGCACATAGTATGCTTTCACCCAAATGATGTGGCTCATGCTTTTTCTGCTGGTGTGGATATCATTTCATCGCTCTTTTTTCGTTCTGTTCTTGCAATGAAGAAGTTGCTGAAACGTGGTGAGGAAGACTCCTAACGGCTGATGTGCTCCGAAGGGAGTGCCAAAAAAGACATGGGATCAAGGGTCTTTCTCTTCTTCACAGCAAGGCTTTGAGAAAACGAACACACCGAGTCGTGTTGGTGCCGCATTTACAAAGATCACTGATTTACAAAGAACGAAAGCATTTTTCATTGTGTGTTTCCATTGTGGTTATGGTGCCGCGCTCAACCTGCTTTCTATCACCCCATCAATGTCCAAACGGTCATTACCTGTGCTTGTTGGGAAAAACGAGTCCGTGATGTAACACAAATACATCGGACCGGCGTCTGAGACCAAATCACCGGACCGAGATCACGAAAACAAGAGCACGAAAAGCGCAAAAGTCCTTGCTAAAGCACAGCACGTTACCAGCTAGCAAGAGCTACAGCTAGCAGCTCATATGAGACTGAAGGCAAACCGCTTTCTTTTTGGTGTACTTGATGACTCTTCTATTGAATCTTAAGAACTTTTTCTTTTCTTCAGATTCTGTCGATCTACTTCTGCCTTTGGTAGCGGGTCTACTCTCTCCGATCCCACCGGAATCTCCGATGGGGCCACAGGTCCCGCCTGGAGCCGTGATCGAGGTCTCGACCTCGACCTCCGAGACATTGGTGTTTCCAATGGGCACACCACAGGTGTCGAGGAACAGAACTTGAGCGGATCCGTCTGAAGCGGATCCTCGTGTGAAGTTGGCTTCAAAGACCACAGGTGCTGTTAACAAAGAACCCTCACCTTGGACTTGAAGGCGGCAGCTTTGTCCACTCACACAAGTCAGTCGCTGATCCCAGGGTGCTGGGCCTAGGATGTTGAGGCTTCCCACATCCGTGTGGAAGTGCGACCAACGACTGCAATCCGTCGCATTGCTGAAGTTATAGAAACTTGGATCGATATTGACCTGGCCGAACGGTCATGGGACCAAAACACCCTGGTTGACCACCCAAACTGAACAGACTAGATTACAAGGGAGGTCAACCTTTGAGGGTTTGGGGCTTTAGGTTTTTGACCCATCCCCACCTCTGGCATGCACCAACATACACGGTATTGCCCGCCAGGTGCCGTCATGACTGATCGATTCCACTGGGCGGTGCTGATGGATTCCACCACGCTTTGAGCAAACTCATTTCCACAACTGGACAGAAGAGCAATTAAGGAATCGCCGATGTGGTACCCCGTCAACTCTGGGCTGAAACATGTTGAACCGCTGATGCAGGTGCGATCTTGATCCAAAGGCCATGGCCCCAGCAAATCCAAAGAACCCATCTCAAGGCGAAAATCCTCCGGGCGAGCACATGGGAAATCGGCCGAGCACCAACAAAGCTTGTAACGTCCTCCGGGGCCTGAAATTGGAAGACTTCCCCAACTCACTGTGCCAGTCTCCACGCTCACCGTTTGACCTGCTAAGGGTACACCGTTGGGGACTGACGTGGTGCCACAAGTGCTCAGAAGCTGAATGGAGTCATTGACTCTGAGACCCTCACCAACAACGCCGCGAAACGTGCAAGGCCTTCCACTGATACATGTGGCAGCATACTGTAGAGGTGCTGGACCAAGCAAAGACACTCGTCCCAAGTCTGCAATAAAGCTTTCCACAGAGTTGCATGTACCACGGCACCAACACAAGCGATACTGCCCACCTTCAGCTTGCACAACGTCCCACTGGGCAACTGTACCACTTGCAGTCGTCATTGCTGCTTCTAGAGGCCACCCTTCAACGAGATCTGAGCTGCCACATGTGTTTAGAACGATGATGTGGTCACTGTCTGATGGCGATTCCAATTGCAAACTCTTCACCAAACAAGTTTGTCCAGCCACGCACGTTCGGTCAACAGACATCTCCGGCCCAATGAGAAGAAAGGAGCCAATGTCGACCAAATGGTCAGAGGGTGAGATGCAATCAGAATTGCCCCCGCACCAGCATAGCCTGTACCTGTTCGGCCGGTGTGCACATGAACATGTCAAACCCAACGACATCGCCCCGCAAGCCATGGCTAGCCATGGCTGATTTCTGCAGAAACAGTAGATTCATGTCGATTCACAACACAAATAACGTGGACTCTTGATTCATAACCTCCTCCAATTCTAATTGACAAACCTCTACATTAAGGACCAACGGACACGTTCGACGGACCCACTTGAGGCCTGCCGCCGACCGCGGAAATGGCGGTGCCCCAGCTCACTTGCAAAGTGTTGCCTTTGCTCGAGGTGTCCTCAGCTATCAACGAAAAGTGACGTCGTCCGTATTTTGTGACGTTTCAAATGACTTCAACATCGCCCTCTTCCTTCACCTCCATATTCTATGCAGGAGCTGTCTTCAAGTTAAGTATTTTGTGAGGATGGCATCTTTGAGAAAGATCTGATCATTGCAAAGGTCCATCCACTTTTAGTACTTGAAGTGCTGTCATGTCGAGGCAAAATGAGGTCGGATGGCTAGGTTGTCATACCCTGCATTTGAAGCTTGCTCTTCCTTCACTTTTCCATTGCACATCTTTCTTGAGGATTGAGAAACTCTCAGAGAATCGAAGACTTTCTCGGCATTTTTCTTGTGCAGTTGATGGATGAAGAGGATTTCTGCGTGTGGATATTGTCACTTTGCACAGCTTTATCCTACTGAAAGACCTGGACCACAACGCGTTGGGGCACCCGGACCGTTGGGGGGGTCGTTTCGGGCGCCACGATGTTTCGTGATTTTGGGTGCTTTGGATTAAAGTACCATACAGGATGAGCTGTTGGGCAAATGACTTCGGATTTCCACGCCAAATCTTCCAACCGAAGACCCTGACGCGTGGGACCTCCAAAGAAGGACGGCCGCCCGTCGACCCTGCCGAGGCGCGATTGATGGGCTACCCGTGGCGCCCAGACCGAGAGCCAGCACCGAGCTGCGAGGCATTCCGTTGAGCCAGGACTGGCCACAGGAGTCGAGGACCAAGAAGGAATCTGCAGCGGTCAAGCCCAAGCCCTCGATGTCGACGCTGCAAGTCTGACCTGATACACAGGTTCGATCTTGAGAGATGCTCTGGAGGAAGAAGATCTCGTAAGTGGAGGCATCACTCGAAACGAAGTTCCAGCAATAGCTCAAGAATCTACAGCTACTGGTGCTGTCATCGAAGCGAAGAGCCACCACGGAAGGATCGCCGTAGGATTGTCTTCCGAGGTTGAAACACTGCGCTTTGCTGATCGTTTGATGACTATGCTCTTTCTGCCCGTGACAAAAGCCTCGTAGCCAACCTCCGGAATGCGTCCTTGGACCCAAGAGGTAGAGTGCACCAACATCCGCTCGAAAGCTTAGGCTACTCTCACAATCAAATCCTGCTGCACACCAACACAAGCGGTAGACTCCACCGGCTGCTGAAAGGGGCTCCGGAGCTGACGAGACTGTGATAGACTCCCCAATGTCAGTGAGATTCCCGCTGGCATTCTCCATTTTGAGCGCTGAAGACACTCCCCATGGAAGGAATGAGCTTCCACAGGTGTCCAGAATCAAGAACCTCTCATCGGACTGAAAGCCGATCCCGGCGATTCCAACGGAACACCTCTGCCCCGAGACGCACGTCCGATCCTGAGGGCTCCGTGGACCACGAAGCGTCACGGTGCCAGCTGAGACCTGAAAGTCTTCCGGCAAGGAACAGGAGGAATGTCCTGAACACCAACAAAGCTCATAGATTCCAGCACTTGGAACCATCATCGGATCCCTCCAAGCCACTCCCAGTGGCCCTGCTCCTGCTTCATCGCTTTGGTTCATCAGGGTCACGTTGTATTCGGGGAGGGAGTGCAAAGTCGCAGAAGCTCCCAAAACAAAGCCGGTCAATCCGCAGGTGTCCAGGATCAAGAAGCGATCCTCCAGCTTCAATCCTGTACCACTGATGCCAAAGACTGCACAGCTTTGTCCAAAGACACAGGTGAAGCCCTGCTTGGAATACTCAGGTCCAAGGAGCGACAAAGACCCGAAAGGAGCTGTAAAGGCCAGGCTATTCGAACAGGATCCAACCAGTGAAGCATTCCCGTTTGGTGCCACCAAGGCACCTTGCGAGAAGTTGCTGTTGAACGTTTCCCCTGAGCACCAGCATAACTGATAGGTGCCACCCTGTAGGGTCAACCTAGCCCATCGGGCATCCCGCGTGAGGTCCGTGACTTCCGCGGCATCTTGGACATGTTGGGGAAACGCTTGAGGTGTGCCACAGGAGTCCAAGAGCAGAACCGAACCAACGCTTCCGACCTCGAGCCGAAGTCCATCGATCCGACATGCTTGCCCGCTGATGCAGGTCCGCCTCGTGCCCTCCAGACCAAGACCAAAGGATGGGCCCAGCAACGTCAATTCACCCAGGTCAACCACAAATTCTTCGCCCATCTGGCAGACTCCCGATGTTCCGCACCAGCAAAGCCGATATTGACCACCAGGCAGGTCCAGGAGTGTCCAGGAGAAGGAGGTCCCACCCGCCGCGGCCGGCGCGAGCCCAGCAGCGTCGGAGAAGTCGCCCGTGGCACCACACGTGTCCTTAAAAGGTCACTGGTGCGATGCCCGGGCTCCTAGTAGGCCAGGGGCTCCTAGTAGCATCCTTGCTCCTAGTAGCGAGGCCAGGAGCCCTTAGTAGCGAACATAGCTCCTAGTAGTAAGGCCAGGGGTCTAGTAGCGTCCTTGGGACAGTGAAATACGAGACTTAAGAAGGAATTTGTAGCCTTCTTGCGCTAGAGAAAGGGATGAAAAAGGTAGGAATGAAGCCAAGATATTCCAAGCGTCCAAAATCCAAATCCTGTCACCAGCTCCCAAACCTTCACCCAGAACTCCATCCACCATGCAGCTCCGACCACTGACACATGTTCGATGTTGTGAAAGGGGGCTTGGCCCCAGTAGCACTAAGCTTCCTGCATCTGTTCGAAATGATTCGGAGAAGCTGCAGCCCTGAGCACCGGCACACCAACAAATGCGGTACTCTCCACCAGCCGCACTGCTTCGAGCTTCCCAATGTCCAATGCCCGAGGAGTTGAAGAAGTTGGAAGATGTGAAGACCATCCTGCCTGCCCGGTCCATCCTATCCACCAAAGCATTCTGAAGACCACATGTGTCTAAGATCATGTATGAGTCATCTTCCGTGAGGCCATTTCCCAGCAGGTTGCCAATCGTACAAACCTGCCCGCTGACGCATGTTCGTGTCTGAAATGCCGGTTGAGGGGGAAAGAGAAGTAGAGTGTCCTCTGAATCGCTAGCGATCAAAGCACAAGTTTCCATGATTTGGCATTCCCCTTGACTCGGGCCACGATCTGCATACCAGCCCACCAAGCACTCATTTCGCAGTTGCTCGCAGCGCGCATGGCAAGACTCCTGGCTGGTCCAGTTGGTTTCAAGCACGATGGGTTCAGGATAGTCTGGTCTGCTGCCACAATGCCCTCGTTGAACCAAAGTCCATCGAATGCCAGGGCCAAGGACGTCCAACTGTCCAACATCCACGAACGAATCTCGACAAGTGGAAGCGGAGTCCGTCCAATTACCTCTTGAACACCAGCACAAACGGTAGACTCCTCCAGGGGATGTGATGGAGTTCCATGAAACGCGTGCGGTGCTCCAAAGGCCGCCGTCTTGGTGAGCTGAGAGATGGACGGAAGGAGCTGGTGGAAAGCCCGGTGTTCCGGACACTCCGCAGGTGTCAAAGACCTGCCAAAGATCCCACTCTGAGAGGTGCAAGCCAAGCAAATCCACCTCACAAGCCTGTCCACTCATGCACGTGCGATCCTGTGTACCAGCCACACCAATCATTTCCAGGTGACCCACATCGAAGAAGTCCAAGAAGCTTTCGCAGCGAAACTTCGAGATGTTTCCTGTCTGGTTGGTAAAGTCGCTGAAGCTAGTTGGACACCAACACAGCCTGTAGTTGCCACCGGGCAATCTGAGTCTGGCAGAATCTCCCGACACTCCCAGCCTGCTATCAACTGCTAGCTGCCCTCCCGCACCACAGGTGTCCAGGATCATAAAAGAATCGCTGTCCCCGTATATTCTGCTGGCAATTTTGCATTCTCGTCCACTGATGCAAGTGAAGCTTTGCAAAGGTGTGGGACCCAGCACCAGAAGCTCTCCAACATCAACCGCGAAGTCCGTCGAAACACTGCAAGAGTTGTTGCTGTCGATGTCCATAGTGCCATTTGCTGTCAAACGTGAACACCAACAAAGGCGGTACTCACCGCCCCAAATAGGAACTTGATTCGCATCCCAGTACCATGCATAGCCCATGGAAGCTGCCAGTGCCTGTGTGCCCAGCCCGTCCTGCCATGATCGAAGACCAGTGTGACTGACGAACGTCTCGTTCAATGAGTGGTCGGTGCAGGTGTCCAAAATCAGCAGCATGTCTCCATTCGTCAAGCCAAAACCTGTGATGCCATCAATGAGACAGCTTCGGCCAGTGACACAGGTCCGAGTCTGTTGAACATCCACACCGATCACTTGCAGAACTCCAACGTCTGCGAGAAAGCTCGTGGGGGACACACAGCTGGAGTAACCGAAGTGGGCTGAAGTGTTTCCGGGTGTTGTAACCTCTGTACACCAGCAAAGTCGATATTGACCACCAGCAGCTGTGACTGCGATGCTTCCCCAACTCACTGCTGTTCCACTGGCAGTGATAGAACTTGCATGACCACCAGAGCTAAATCCAGAGACGGCAGCAGCGACTCCACATGTGTCTTGGACGAGATAGGCATCGTTGTTGTTCAAACCAAGACCGATCACGGAGTCGATGGAACAGGTCCGGCCACTGATGCAAGTATAGTCATGTCCTGTAGCTGGACCCACCAAATACAAGGTCCCCACATCCACTCGGAAGTCTGGCCGAAGACATGAGCTGCGATTGTAGAAAGAGACGTTGAATGGAGACGGCGTGTTACTTGCAAGCACCTGCCAGGAAGAAGGCGAAAGTGGAAGCCATCGCTAGTAGGGTACTAGGTTGGAGGCCATCGCTACTAGGTTGGAGGCCATCGCTCTTAGGTTGGAGGCCATCGCTACTAGGTTGGAGGCCATTGCCCTTAGGTTGGAGGCCATCGCTCTTAGGTTGGAGGCCATTGCTATTAGAAACAAAGAAAAAAGAAAAAGGAAGAAAGGTCCAATAGAGTTTGCACCTGCCAGGAAGAAGGCGAGAGTGTGTTGTTGTCAGCCACTGTGCCGCTTGTCTCAAGCAGCTCAGCACACCAACATAGCCTGTATTCACCGCCTTGCAAGGTCAAACTGAATTCCCAAAGAGCATCTACACCAGGAACTGAGCGAGCAAGAGCCCAAGCACTGCTCAGCGAGCCGAGGCCAAGATTTGAGTTACAGGTGTCCATGATAAGGAACTCAGCTTTTTGGGATTCAATGTGCACTCCCTGCACATGTGAGACTTTACATGGCTTTCCCCGGAAGCAAGTGAAGGTCTGCTCTGGCAAAACGCCTTCCAACAGTAGCTCACCAGTGTCAACTCGGAAATCCTCGAAAGTGCTGCAAGAGAATCCTTGTGCACACCAACAAATCCGATAGATGCCTCCACTGGAAGACACAGCGGTGTCCCAAGAGACTTCGGTGCCCCAAGTGCCAGAAGCACTCTGTAAGAATGCGGCCGGGGATTGAGGAACGTGGCTGGCCAGACCACAGGTGTCCAAAATCAAATATCGGTCGCCCAGCTGCAAGTCTCGGCCATGGAATCCAGTCAGGTGGCAGGGCCAGCCAACAACACATGTGCGGACATGCTTCAAATCAGGACCGACGATGTGCAAATGCCCCAGATCCACCACAAACTGGTCGGCTCTTTGACAAAAACTTTCATATTCACCGGTGGCATTAGATTCATATTCACCGGACGAGCGCGATGAACACCAGCAAAGCCTAAAGTCTCCTCCAGGCATCGTTAGAGGAAGATTGCCCCACGAGAACGCAAATGGTTCCACTTCGAAAGCAGGAATCGGTGGAAGCTGTTTGGTGCTGGGTGAATGGCCACAGGAATCAAGCACAAGCAGTGAATCTCTGGACATCTCTGTGTACTCCGTGTACCCTGCCGCGTAGCTCACTCCTTTGAGGACACATGTCTGACCACTGACGCAGGTAAAGGCTTGAGAGGCCTGGGGTCCAATGAGATGAAGCTTTCCGAAGTCCACATCGAAGTCCGCAGGGGTCAAACAACCCAAAGGAACCAATCCACTCTGAAGAATGGGAAGACTTAGACCCTCCGTCGAGCGATCTGCACACCAACAAAGCCGATATTCCCCACCATTGGCAGAGACACTTGGCCAAGCAAAGGAAGATCGATTGGACATGCCCGTGGCGATTCCTGCATCATGAAGCCCTGGCACATACAGTGAGACACCACATGTGTCCAGAATCAACGCTTTGTCGCCCGAAGTCAACCCAAGACCCAGAATCCCATCAATGAAGCAGCTTCTGCCGCTGATGCACGTCCGATCTTGCTCCAACAATGGACCCAAGACGAAGACGGCTCCGGTATCGGTGGACCCTCCACCCGCAGCCGAGATATCCTCACAACTGGCTCGTCCGCACCAGCAAAGTCGATATTGCCCACCGAGACGGGGCACTGCCTCCACTAGAAATGGTGGCGATGACATGTTAGTCCCATTCCCCACCGGACTGAAGCGACTCGGAGTTCGCATGGCTTCGCCGCAGGTATCCAGAATTGAGAAGTGGCCCTCTGTGTATCCAGACAAATGCCAAATCCGACAAGCACGGCCGGTCACACACGTGAAGGCTCCAGTGGTCACAGGCCCTAACATGTGAAGTGCTCCGAAGTCCGTTTGGAAGTCAGTGGCCAACGTGCAGTCAGTGCGATTGGAATGACTTTCCGTTGCATTGGGCCAAGCTGGGCCATCCTTCCCACACCAGCAAAGCCGATAAGTTCCACCTGCAAGGACATGGGCATCAATCGTGAGACGACCATTTGTGCCCATGGACAGGGAGGCAAACTTGCCATGAATGCTTGGGTGAGCACAAGTGTCCAGCACCATCACTGCGTCGTCACTCCAGTCCAAGAATCCCGTCATGTCAATTTTGCAGAGCTGGTCGCTAATGCACGTTTGATCTTGAAGAAGAGGTGAGGGTCCACGTAAGAAGAGGTTTCCCACGGTCCACAGATGCATTTCAGCCCGGCCCCTGCAGTCCGATTCAGAGGTGTTCACTGCGAATCGGTCACGGTCACTACACCAACAAAGCTTGTAGGATCCCCCAGCAAAGGTGTGTGAGACACTGCCCCATTTCACCACAGCTCCGCTGGACACCACGCTGACATCTTGGCCCGCATTCGCCATGGACTCCAGGATTTGGCTACTTCCACAGGTGTCTTGGATTAAATAGCTATCTGAATCCAGCAATGCTTCACCTAGAAGACCTTCCACCCAGCAGGTTCTTCCACTAATGCAGGTTCGATCCTGGCTCGAGGACCATGGCCCTTGCAACACCAGTTCACCAGCGTCCACTTGCAAATCTTCAACACTGGAGCATTGATGGCTACCGCACCAGCAAAGTCTGTAACGACCTCCACCTGCCATTGGCAAGCTGTTCTCCAGAAGCAAGGTGTTGACTCGCTCACCGCCACCCAGCTCGGCACCGCCGATCGGCTCCATCGCCGGCCATTGTCTCTGCACCGAGAAGACCAATGCGCCGGAGAGACCCAAAAGACCACAGGTCTCCAGGGCCCAAACGGTGTCGTTCTGTGAGAGATGGACACCTTGAAGCATCGACTCACATGGACGACCGATCACACAGGTGGACGAGTAGTCGGATGTGGATGGGCCAATGAGGGTCAAAGTTCCAAGGTCTTCACTGAAGTCCTGGCAGAAACCGAGAGCATCGTTCAACTCAACATGTTCACCATGGGCGTTAGAATGAGATGAGGCCTTTTTTGGCCTTTTTTGGTCAATGAGAAACCTGGTGTCAACACTGAAGTGGCGTTTGAGGTGCACCCCCTCACTGAAGTGCAACAGATGATCAAGTGATCGAAGTGCCCAAAGGATCCGAAAAGACACGATCCGAACACCGGATCCAAGAAAGTCATAACAACCTGAACGAAACGGAGTTCTTTTCTTGAATGAAACGGATGTCTGTAAAGACTTCCCAACAAAGACCTGAGATCAGTTCCTGCTCCTTTTCTTGGTTTCTTCTTTTGGCTTCTTTCTTGCACCGAGGGTCGTTGAACGTGAGGCCGACGCTCGTTTGGCGGCGGGGAGGGGCGAGACCCTGAATGTTTCACTGATCCTTTTGAGTTGGTTTGGTGGTGGGTACCGAGTCTGAGTGTTTCTCTTTTGGGGCCCTTTGCAGTTGGTTCTGAGTCTGAGTTCTGAGTTGAAATTCAGTTCATTCCCAGAGCCAAACCTCGCCAAACAAACGTTCGTTAGAAAGAACGCGTGGGACGGAACATCCGACGTAAGTAACGTCCTCATAGGTGAAGCAAGGCGTCGTGGCACACCAACACAATCGATAGATGCCACCTCTGGCCCGAACCGGCGTCTCGCCCCAGGAGATTGGGAAGACTCGAGCACTTTCGTTGGAGTTCGGCAACTGAAGAGTGAGGCTCTGTCCAGCTTGAGGCCAGCCTTGTACATGTGAGGGTAAAGCACAGGTATCCAAAATCAGAATGGATGAGTTCTGCATCTGCTCAGAGTCAGTGGTCAAACCCGGCAAACCCACAACACTGCAGATTTGTCCACTAATGCATGTCCGCGAGTGGATAGAGCGAGCCACTGTCGCACCACCAGCAAGCACCACCTGACCGGGAGTGCAGTTTAAGCAACACATGTACAAATCAAAACACGTATAGTTTAATTATGTTTAATCCATAGCTTGGCCAAGCTGTACTCTGCCCAATGTCCATATGAATGAACATGCAAACTTCTGAAGCGACGTAACAAAAGGCAACACATGCTTTGTGGCTTAGTTCAGTGAGAGATTTTTTCTATTCCAAACAAAGACCTTCCATGACATTCTTCGATCTTGCTTGCCTGCGTGACATTGCTCGAGGGGTCTTCTGCACAACTCTCTTCCCACATCAGAACACCTGCGCTATAGGTTTGCACAAACTGGCACCCTGCTGTTAAGTTCTGTGGTGCTTGGATAGTGATCTGGCCGATGTCTACTTGAAACTCTTCTTGCCTCATGCAAGATGACCTGTTGGAATAGCTCCATGTGCCATTGAAACTTGGAGGCTCGAGGTGGGCGCACCAACACAAACGGTAGCTTCCCAAAGGCAAGCTTGGCTCCACCCAGGAACCTGAAAATGGCAGGGATATAGAAGCAGCTGCTTCCAGAAGATGGATGCCTCCACAGGTTTCAAGGATCATGAGGCTATCGCTTGAGTTGAAGCCAGTGATCAGGAGCCTGCAAGGCACACCGGCCACACAAGTGAAGTCTTGTGAGAGAGGTGTGGGACCTACCAAATGGAGCTGGCCAACATCGACCAGCCAGCTTGCGAGTGCCAACCTGGTGAGGTTGGACGCATTGCCTTCGACAAAGCCTTGGAAAAGGGAGGCGTCGAACTCCGATGTGTTGGATGAGTTGCTCATGAGGTGAAGCAGCTCTGAACTCGCTGGAGAATGAGGATATGGAGCCCAACAAAGGCGATATGTGCCGCCGGCCGCAGTTGCCGTGGCCCAATTCACAAAGGCTGTAAAGGTGGACACACCCAGAGACGCTTCGATGGACTCCATGAGGCCAGCATGGCTGAAGCGAGGCACCACTTGATCGATGCCGCAGGTGTCTTGGATCAGGAAGGAACCCGAGCTGGACAGATCGCCATAGCCGCTGATGGAGATCCGACAGCTGTGGCCACTGACGCAGGTCCGATGCTGCTCCAATGGTGAAGGGCCCATGATCTGGAAGGTCCCAGCGTTGAAACAGGCATCCCCTTCATTGATGGACACGTTGTACCCACTCATATTGAATCCCGGACACCAACAAAGTCGGTACTCCCCTCCAGCTGCAGAGATTTGGATCTCAGTACTGAAGTCTGCCATGGCACCAGCCTGTACTACTGAGATGAAGCTGGAACTCTTGGGCACAGCTGCGCTTCCACAGGTCTCCATCACTTGCAGCCTGTCTTGCTCTGAAAAGCCATGTCCTTTGAGTCCAAGGGAACATCGTTCACCTGAAAGACAGGTGAAGTGCTGCGTGATGGGTGCAGGGCCCAAGAGGAACAATGCACCAGCATCTGAGCGGAAGTCAATGGACCTTGAGCAGCTGCCAAGGGAGGAATTGGAAAGGTTGGACAGCGCATGCATCGCTTGCTCAGTCCCACTCACGCGTTCTGAGCACCAGCACAAGCGATATGTGCCGCCCGACAACAAGCTAGTGGCTCCGGTAAAGGATGTACCGAGGGTGCCATCGCTTGCAGTCATGACCCGCAGGTATGCTGCATCCTCCACAGATCCGCAGGTGTTCAAAATGGCCAGATGCTGATTGGCGCCCAAAGCTTCTCCTGTCAAACCATCCACTTGGCATGGTAGACCACTGATGCATGTGTATCGGTGCGTCGCCTTCGGACCAATGACCAACAGTTGCCCGAAGTCGGCTCGAAAGTCCTCAGGCTCTAAGCAAGAGAAGTGTCGCGAACACCAACAGAGTCGATAGTTGCCTCCTGAAACCATTTGATTCTCCTCCCAGCCAAAGGCCACCAGATTGCTTGCGGTTGCCTCGCCGTTGGTCTCATTGCGGGTGCTATTTCCATCTCCAACTTGAAGTCGGAGGGTGAAATCACTGAGCAAGCTTCCACAGGTCTCCAGCAATAAGATCTGATCTTCACTGGAGATGCCAGAACCCATAAGCACCTGCTGGCAAGCACGTCCACTCACACAGGTATGATGCTCTGAAAATGGACCTAAAAGATGAAGCTCACCTGCATTGGTGATGAAGTCGTCTGGAGATACACAGCCACTCAGCGCACTTGGCCGGCACCAACAAAGCTGATACAAGCCAGTACCAATGATTGGCAAGGGAAAAGTTGCAAGTGACTTTGCCACTTCCAAAGTACCAAAAATGTTGGAAAGGCTCTCCAAAGCACCAGAAGTTACTGCACCACATGTATTCAGAATCTGCAATTGGTCGCCGTCTGTGAGATCCTGGCCATAGAAGGAAAAGGCACAGTGCTGTCCGCTGATGCATGTGACTTCATTGAAGAAGGGACCAGCGATGGTGAGAGTGCCAAAGTCCAGCTGAAAATCCAAAGGCGACACACACAACTCCAGCTTGCTACACCAGCAAAGTTTATATTGACCTCCCTGTGTGCTGAACGGAATCGGCCAAGTCACTTTCGCTCCCGACAAAGAGATCTCTTCAAGTCCAGAAACTCGGTCCACGAGTGCGGTTCCACAGGTGTGCATGAGTAGGATGGAGTCACTCGCTCGCACCTCGAAGATGATCTCCCAATTGTTGTAGTCAGTCGGCAGCCCAGACGAAATCCAGCCTGAGATGTTTGACATTTTACGGATCTGGGGAATGTTCGGCGTTGCGTTTGGGGAATTGTTTGAGCGGTCGTCATTTCTCTCAGTCGTTCCTTCAGAAGTGGACAGCTAGCTGTTTGTCGAAGAAATCGATGTCCAGAGGCCATTTTTCATGTCGATGATTTCAAGGCACGGCCTCTGTGCACAAAACAACCCACTGGACCACTTACGGCAAAATCAGCTCCGGCGGCAGGCGAGCAAACATGAGACAAGTGCATCATAATCGAGAAGGGAGTAAAACATGAAGGAGTTCTGTTCATATGATGCACTTGGGTTGCTCCTCAGGGTGAAGCAAGACACAACAACCAGTAGAGCAGAAAGCAAACCAAGAAGAGTAGGAACAAAAAGGAAAGCCAAACAAGCAGGAATAACGCTAACTAATAAGAAGCAACGGCAACAACGTGCTCAGAAAGCAAAAGCAATCAAAACAGGGAAACGATACGCCATAAGAGGACAAGAAGCAGGAAAGTGAAGAAAAGCAGGAGAAGAGCCAGAAAGTGCAAGACAAGTGGGGAAAAAACAGGAAAGCAAGAAAAGCTGGACAAATCACAGGGAAGCAATGAAAAGCAAAGGAAAGGCAGGGAAAAGCAAAAACAATCACCAAAAGCAGGAACAACAGAAAAGCAGGAGCAACCACAGAGAAGCAATGGAAAGCAGAAAAGCAGTAGAAATCATAGAGAAGCAATGACAAGCCAGAAGAGCAACAAGAAGCAAATCCAACAAACAAATCCCTAAACGCAACACACAAAATTATCCGAAAATAATGGTCCTCCTGAGTCCTCCTTATTTTGGTGACATGTTGCTCACTGTTTCCCATGACAATGACACGGAGATTCAAACGAACAAAATACACATGACTTCATGACCTCATCTCGAACGGGTCAATTTGCAGGTCTTCTTGCCGCTTTGTGGCGTGAGTCATCCTCTAGCTTTCCATCCACCAGCTTCTCTGCAGAGTATGTGACGCCACTCAGCTCGAGTGCTTCCCCCGAAGCTCTCAACACACTTTGCCGTGTGGAGACCAACACGTCATCGCGCGTGAGGAATTGCACTTCACGCGGTCGAGGCTCCTGGTCGTAGGTCTGACGGATGAGCAAGCGCCAAAAGTGATCCGAGCTGGAGAAGCCAAAGAACTCTTGCCACTCGCGGGTGCCAGCAAGTGCAGCACCCTGCAAAGCCTTAGTCCACGGTCCATCAGAGGAGCCTCCATGATAAAGCTCAAAGAGGCGTATGTCATGCGTGCCACCTGGATCGCCATCCTGAGAGAGACGAAACTTGTAGATCTGAAAGTTGGATGCGAGACCTACTCCCGTGATGCTGTCTAGCACACATGCACGTCCACTCACGCAAGTGTGCATTTGTACCAATGGGCTCGGACCCACCACCCACAGTCGGCCAAGATCAGTGTGAAAATCACCATATTCCTGACAACTAGATCCGCACCAGCACAATCGATAGCTGCCACCGGCCTCCAACCAGGAAGCTCCCCGTGCCGATCGGTTTTCAACGAAGCTCCAGCGGGTCCCGCCGGCTCCAACGGACCGTGTCTCCGAGAGGTTCGACGCGTTGACGAGTTCGTCCGGACGAGTCCGTCGATCGAAGAGTCCAAAGCCATTGGGAGTGGAGCAGGTGTCCAAGACGGCGATGAGATCAGTGGCATCTGGAGACAGGAAGCCTTGAAAGCCATCAATCACACAGCTTTGACCGGCCATGCACGTTCGATCCTGTGCCAGAGGAGCTGGGCCAACAACCAGAAGGAATCCAAGATCTGTCAGGAATTGCTCTGGCATGATGCAAGACAGCTGCAGGCTGTCCATTGCACTTCCATTAGAAGCCGTTGCTGTGAGGTCAGAATCCTCCGTCTGACCTGCACACCAACAGAGTCGGTAAATGCCACCAGCTGCAGTGATCCTTCCGTTCGCCGCGGTCGCGACGGTGGCACTCCAGACTTGCCCGAAGCCCTGCAAAGGTGTGGAAAGTCCACAGGTCTCCAGAGCCATCACCGAGCCGCTTGCACCGCCCAGCGCCTCTTCAAAGATGCCCTCAGGGAAGCAGTGCTGCCCACTGAAACAGGTTCGTCCAAAGGTGCTCGGTGCCACGAAGTGTAGACTTCCAAAATCCACCTTGAAATCATCTGGTAGCGAACAAGTAAAGCCCGTCAAAGTGCCACACCAGCAAAGCCTGTACTCACCTCCAAGCCCTGTTACAACAGTCAGCGGCGCCCTGTTACTCACCCCCAAAGCAGTAGTGTTCGAGATGTTGTCCGCTGGAAACGCTGAGAGGAATGCGCCAGTCTCCGCCAAGGCCGACGGTGACCCACAGGTGTCAAGGAGCAAAATCCGATCTTGCTCTGATAGTGCTTCTCCCTCTGTATCATAGAAGTGACATGCGAGTCCACTGATACATGTCCTTGCTTGTGTCAACGGCGCTGGGCCTATCAACAGCAACTGTCCAATATCTACCGCAAAATCTTGCGGTTCCGTGCATGAGTTGCTGAATATCACAGGACACCAGCAAACTCGGTAGCTACCCCCTGCTGCCGTCAGCGCCATGGCCGTGAGGTCGGACATCACAACATCAGCGCCAGCCAGCCCAACTGTGCCACACGTATCAAGCACACGAAGCCAACCACTCAATGTGTCGCCAGCTGCGTGAGCTGCGACTGCTTGGAGTTGGCAGGTTCGACCGCTCACGCAGGTTTGTTGTTGTTGAAGCGGTTGTGGCCCCAAGATGGACATCGTTCCCGCATCCACTCGGAAGTCACTGGCCTTTCTGCACAGATTCCCACACCAGCACAAACGATAAGATCCACCGGCAGAAGTGATCATCCCCAAGCTGAAAATACCGCTTGCATTGCTTGCTGTGCTGCCTTCTGACATTACACCTGCAATGGTGGAGAATGTGCCACATGTTTCAAGCACGAGGAAGGCTGAGGAAACCAAACTTTCATCCGCACTACTTGGGAAAAGTTGAATTCCATCAACTTCGCAGCTTTGTCCACTAATGCAGCTCCTATGCTGCTGCAAGGATTCCGGGCCCACCATCGTGAGCTGCCCAGCATCTACACGGAAATGCTCTGCAGAGCTGCAATGGAAGCCCGCCGCGCACCAGCACAAACGGTAAGTTCCACCTGGAGCTGATGGCAAATTGGGAAACTGAAAGATCACACCGCTGCTCAAGATCGACGTGACCTGTCCAAGCACTGCCTCGGTCAAAGCGATGGGAAGTGGTTCTCCTTCAGCTGCGGGCTGAGTCAAACAGGTCTCCATGATCAACAGCTGATCACCTTCAGCCAAATGGTAATGGCCAGCACCGGTAAGCCCAGTGATGAGACACGTCTCTCCAGCAATACAGGTGCTTAGCTTGCCAAGTGGAGATGGCCCAACAATCTCCAAAGAGCCTATGCTGGCCACGTGCTCTTCCAAAAGACAGTCGAGGTTGCTTGATGTGTTCGCCAAGTTCACAGCACTCTTGGGACACCAGCAAAGCATGTAATGTCCACCAGGAACTGGGGCTGCCTCAAAATGAGCTAATTGAAACCTGTCCAGCTCCAATTCGACCACGTTTGGCATAGACACTTTGCTTTGCGCCACACCGCAGGTGTCCAGGACGGCCAAGCTGGCCTCAGCAAGACCATAGAACTGACCCCGAAGGCCATCAAAGACGCAGGTCTGTCCCGCCACACAGGTCCGAGCCTGTGGAAGTGGACTAGGACCGATGACCAGGAGCCTTCCAAAATCCGTGAAATCGGACACAGCACAGGATCGATCACTTCCGCACCAGCAGAGTCGATAACTTCCTCCGGTCCAGATGGTTTGCGGCACCACACGGGCAGATGAAAGGGCCGCTCCGCTGCCTGTTTCATTGGAAGCTGTTCCATTGTGACCTGTGTGATCTGCGATGAGTGTGGAAGTCAAGAAGGGAAGCCCTACACCACAGGTCTCCAAAACGAGGATTTCATCTCCCGAGGCCAACCAGTAGCCTTCCACATCGAAGGAGCATGACAAGCCCAT